CGTCGGCGCTGGCGGGCGGCGGCGCCACGGGGGTGGTCGTGGTGGCGGCGGAGGGCGCGTCGGCGCCCTCGGCACCGGGTAGCAGCAGGACATCGTCGTCGTCGCCCTCGATGCGGGAGTACGACAGGAGCATCACGGCGACCGCGAGCGCGCCACTTCCATAATCAGCACCGGCGCTGCGTCGGCGGGTCGCTGTCGTGGCGGCAGAGACATGTCAGTACCTCACGGCAGCTCGAAAGAATCTCTCGCGCGGAGGGGTGCCACCCTTTGTGACTTTTAAATTGCCGGTCGGTCTACCCGAGCTCATCATGAGGAACGGGCCGATGGACGAAATCAAACTAAAACTAAAACGAGATTCGCGCGAGCTCTTTTAAACTTTCCATCCGACCTAGCCGTACCCCAACGGTGAAGAGGGAAAAACTGTTGAAACACTCGCTCAAGACTCTGAAAAAAAAAAACTTGGGGAAGCTGAGATGGCCCTCCCCCTTCCCCCGCCAGGCTTCGTGCTTCGCTAAACGATGCCTGTTGGCGCAAACCCTCTGCTACAATCACACAACAAGGTGTAATGGGCTGCACACTGCAAGGGATGCGAAGTGGCGGCCGAGTGGCAGTCTGCCAACCGGGGCGATGATTTAAAGCCAGACGCCAAAGGGGCCGACGCGGACCCGTCATCTCGGCGACACACCGTTCGCCAAACCAGCCCGAGGGGAGGGGGGAAGGAATCTACCGTGCTCTGCTGAAACGTATCGAACTTAGTGCCCCTCTCGCCGCCTTCTCAAAGAATCCTCGCCGCGAGCAAAAATCACTTGGAGCGCCGCCAAATGGTCGCGCACTCTCTATGCCTCACGGAGGATTTGTAGGTAATATGGTGAAGGGTGGGCTGTCATAACAGCGACTGCCCCTCTCTTTTTCTGGCGAGGTGCTTTGAATCGCGCATTCCTTCGCGCCCGATTTCTGGCAGTGTTGTCGGAACCGAAATTCCATTTCCCTCGTCCGGGTTCGGGAATCATTTCCGTCCCTCAGGAGGAAAGTCCAGCGTGCCGCTTTTCGGAGAAGGAAGCAAAGGCTGGTCACTGAGACGGAAGGCAGGTGCCCCCCTGCAGCCCGGGCCCGGACTCCCCGGACTGCCGAGGCGGGCTCGTCGGCGTCGCGTCGTGCACAACAAAAACGGCCCCTGGTTTTCTTAGAAACGTCTTGGAAATCGCTTGACTCTCTGTCCCTGGGAAAATCAGGTACCGCTTTCGCCATGTGGTGCGGAGCGCCTGCGTGGCAAGCACGTCTCCGGCGTGCAGCACAGCACGTCATGGGGCTGCCTACGTCACAGGCGCTCCGGGACAGTTGTCGCCGAGGCTGATGTTCTAGGGCTGGCCATGGCTGGCCCGCACCGCGTCGCTCAGTGGGGGCAGCCCAGTGGGGCGGCCCACGGCGACCACGGCCTTTCCGGAGGGCATGAGGTGCATCGCTTGCGCCGCTTGCGCCGCCGCCTTGACCCTAATAGGAGCCTACTGACCCTTCGTCCCTTCGCTCGCACGGCCCCTCGGCCCTCCAGCGCCTCCCCGCCGTGCCGCCGTGCCGTCGCAAACGAGCCCCAGCCCCGCGCAGCCCTCGTCCCGTAGGCGTGCATTAATCGAGGGAGGGGGGCTTATCATGCGCACTTTAAAGACGCGCAGGATTGGGTTAGTGAGTGTGCGTGAGGGAGGGGGGAAAGGGGGGACCCCTCCGACACGGGCCGGCTACAAACCAGCTCCGAAGGCTGCTGCCAAAACAGGGGGATTAGCTCTAATCTCGTGACCGGACATGCTTCCCCAGCACAGCCTGGCCCGGCGCAGCGACCTGCCGCCCCGCCGCCGGCGCGGCGACTGGCGACTGCGGCAAGGGCTGCGTTGCACGGCGGCGAGGAGTAGCACCGCCCTCGGCAGGGCTTGCCGGCTTGCCCTTCCCTTGAGCTTTCTTTTCAACCCTCCTTCCTGCCGCACCGCGACCCGCGGCCCTCGGCGGGGCTCGGCAGCCCCCCGCGGGGGCGTGCCCGCGAGTGCCCACACAGCCCCGATGTAGGCGGGGGCGGGCCCACGCCCTGGGCCGGCCCTGGGCCCCATCGGGGTGGGCCCCATCGGGGTGGGGGCGGCACTAGTAATAAGCGAGCCGAGCCCCCTGAGGGGCCGGAGGGGCCGCGATTCGATCCACGAACACCTTTACTACTACTACTCGTACCGAGGCCCCCGCAGCCCCGCGGCCCCCACCGCATCCCTCCCCTCAATGTCACACGGCGGCAAATCAAAAACGGCGGCCCCTCGGCGGCGGCGGGGTGGGGCGCGGGCCGGGCCGGGCCGGGCCGGGGGTGCAGAGCCAAGCCACCCGAAACTTGTTTCCGACGACAGGGAAAGGAAAGAGGGAGGGGGAACAACGGGGTAGTGGTAGGGCGCCGACAAAATAACTTTGCAGCTACACGACGTCAGATTGTTGGCATATGACCCCGTGCTGCGGAGCGCGGAGCGCCACCCGAGCGGGGGAGCATTTAGTGTGATATCGGGGTGACCCGGCTAGCCGGACGTCCAGTAGTTGCGAATCCTCCCCGTTTTGGGCGCGCGGCCCGACCAAGGCCCGACCACCTCCGGCGGTGCACTATATTCCTGCCAAGACCCCCACCCCACCCCCTCCCCCTCCCCGTTCTGAAAAACAAGCCCTGTGTCGGCGGGCCAGCGTTGGCGCGGACCTTGACGGCCATGCGGCATGATTTTGCGGAGCAGCCCCGTTTAGGGAACGACACTCGAGAGAGCTTCCCGTCCCATGGCACTTTGGGTGGCGACACCTGGATGACGCCCCCCCCCCCTTCTGTCGACTCTGCAGCCTGAGCAACCTGTTAGTGATGGAGGCACACGGTGACACGGCGAGGCCCAGCCGAATGGGTAATGGGTACGCTGTGACAGCGTCGAGCGGTCACTTAGTAAACATGAACCAACTTGTCCCACTTCCAAATCTCTGCACCCCGATGACCCAGTACAGCAGTCAGGCCGAGTCAGGAGGACGCGCAGGGGTAAGTACGGGGCTCGTTTTAAAAATTGACGCAGTAATTGAGGTTTCTTCTGGGGGGAGAACTTATCAACACCGACGCTATCCTATTGGCGGCACCCTCGTCGAGAGACTCGCGAAACGGACAACAACAACCCGTGAGGAACTGACATGGCCACCACCACTGGCAACGCACACTAAAAGCAGGCCGAACGGAACCGCCAGGACATGACGATGCTGCACTTGGCTGAGCGGCGCGCGGCGGTGGCGCGACGGCACGACGCACGCCCGGGACCGCGGCGAGGCGGCGAGGCGGCCTTCCCCGTATCGGCCTCCTTCGACTCGGCGGCGCGGGCGTCACGTTGCTGACTGCTGCCGGCGCCGCGGCGCCCCCAGACCATCCCGCGGCGCCCGCCGCCGCCCCCCGCCGCCCGCCGCCCCGCCGCCCCCATCCGGGGAGGGGAGCAGTGCGGAGCAGTGCGGCACCAAGACGCCGCCGCGGAGAGCGGCCCTGCGCGCAGGGCGAGGCGGCCGAAGCGGCGCAGCGGCGGCAAGGGGGTTCCCGGCAGTGACTCACAGCCCTTCGGCCGGCCCTTCGGCGCTTCGGCCCCAGCGCTTTCGGCCCTCGGCCCTCAAAGAGGCACGGCGCACAGTGGGCCAGAAGGCAGTTGGAGGCGGCCAAAACCCTAGACACGTTTTGAGCTCCAGAGTCGCTAAATGGAACTCGAGCCGAACGTGTGACCCCACCAATGGATTGCTCACCGGACGAGGAATCCATTGGTGGGGTCACACGTTCGGTTCGAGTCCTGTTTAGCGACTCTGGAGCTCAAAACACGTCTAGAGTTTTGGCCGCCTCCACCGGTCTCCTGGCCCACTGTGCGGCGGCGCGGAGCGACACGTACTCGGAACGCGACTCATTGCCGCTCGCGACAAATGGAGCCGCTTCCAGGAAAGGGAACATCGCGGCTCGTCACGGCCAGGGCCTCGGCCAGGGCCTCGGCCAGGGCATGTCGCGACGGCCGAGGGCTCCCTTGGCACGCCGCACCGCCGGCGGTCCGCCGCACTCCGCGCCAGCGCGCCAGCAAAGCGCTTCGGGCTGACGCCACCCTTGGCACGTTTCGAGCTCGAGGGAACTCGAAAGGGGCTTTGAATCAAACGAGAAATCCATCGCTACCCACAATGCGTTGGTTGAGTTCGATGCAGTTGTCGAGTTCAGAGGATCGTGAACAGAGCCGCTGCTATGTCCGCCCAAACTGTTCCTACGGCTCACTGTGCGTTGTGGGGTTGGCCGCTGTGCACGGCGCGCTGAGAGTGGGCTGGGGGCGATTGCGGAGGCATTCCTTCGCAAGTTTACAAAGCAGCCAGTCACTTAGCAAAGCAATGCAATCCTCCGCCAGGTTTAATCCGCCCAGCCTCCGGAAGGCCTTTGCTGCGCGGCCCAGTTTGCGTTTCCCCGGAGTGCCTCTTTGACGGGCAGCTCTGCGACGACGCTGTGAGTCGCGCGGCCAACGCTCCCGCCAACAGCACAACCTACCTGCAAGCAAAGACAAACAAACACACCGTGAGAGGGACGGCCTCGGCGGAGTGGAGTGGACTCGGGGTAGCGCTGTGCAGGGGCAGCAGGGGCAGCCAGGCCAGCCAGGGGCAGGGGGTAGCGGCGCCCGCTCCAGCGCGGCGTCCAGCGCCCTCCAGCGGCCACGAGGGGAAGCCGGCTGGAGTCACGCCGAAGTCAACGGCCCGTTGGCGGACCGGCAAGACGGTGTGGGTGCGAGAGAGACAGAGAGAGGGGGAGTCGCGGCACCGCGCTGATGGATCCAAGGGGCGGAAGGGAGGTTCCAAGCTCAGTCGCGGCCCGGCTCGCTTGTCATTATATTCGCATCAAATGAAGGCCGCCCGGCTTAATAACTGGCTCCATCATTGAAAAAAAAAACACAATCTAATGGGGCTGGCCGCCAAGGTGATGAATTTGCGGGCAACTAGTTAATGCCTACCTGAGCAACCTTCTCCCCCATGTTGGACGTGTGCAGCACTCCTTGAAAGAACTTGGCCGATCCATTGTCCTGTATGGAGAACTGGAAAACAGGTGGTGTTATTTTCTTGAACGTCGAGACGCACCGCAGATAAGCGACTACAGTTAATGCTACCTTGTGGCCGAGGTTGCTGAGCGAGGGTGACTTCCGTTCCCGACTAGATTGGTCCCAGTAGGAGGCGCGATACTTTTGCAGGTCAGACTCGGATGAAGTGTTGGGGAAGACGTTGGCAGCCGCACGAGCTGTGAGGCAAAGACAAGTACGGTAGAAAACATTGGCCCAGTTTTGCCCGAGAGTCCAAAATAATTTCGTTCAATTACTGAAACAAAGGTGTCAAAAAAGCGTGTTAGTACAGAAAACCAGGGCCGTTGAGGTGTTAAGACAGAAGTCGTCTCTAGACTATGACTATTCAATTAACAACTATGTAAAAAAAATATGGCACTGAGAATACACAACTTAGAATAACACAACTTTTCAGCATCAACTTTCATGGTACTGCGCTGCAAAAAAATATTACAAAGCTACTACAATACTCCGGCGAGTGGGTGAGTGTAAGCATACGTCGTTTTCTATTTTTGGGTGTGGCGCTGCGACGGTGGAATGGACTAGGACCACAAGGTGCACGTCAACGTGCCTACGCCGTGAGACTTCTTACCTTACGCGACAACGCGTTGGACAGAGGAAAAAGCAACAAGTAGAGGGTGTGGGGACGAAAGCCGGAAAATGAAGCAGTTCTGTCGAAGCGAATGGCTGGGGCGGGGCGGGGCGGGGCGGGGCGGGGCGGGGCGGGGCGGGGCGGGGTGGCTTGGACTGGGCGTGGTCGTCCCGTTGCAGGGCCATGGCCAGGGCAAAGGTGAGCGCCAATCATTAACTCTCCGGGCGATCGTTTAATCTGGAAAGGCCGGGGGCTGTTTTGCCGGTTAAGCGTTGGAGTGCGCAAGCGGCGTGTCGGGAAGAAACATTACAACGGGCGCATCATCCGTCAGTAGTGTGGTTGCCTGTCGTTGTTGTTGTTGATGTTGCTCGAAGGGGGTCTTTACCTGCGCAAATGTTATCTATAGTATGTGGTCGGGGCAGAGGCGGTGGAGCCTGGAAGGCTGGGTCCAGGCCGGCGAAGGGGGCCGCCCCACTCACTGCGGACATGAACACGTTGTGGTAGAGCAGCAACTGGGGTACGTCGGTACCTTCCGGCTGGGCGGCAGAGCGTCCCCCCACCCCTTCCCCACGCTTTGTCTGTGCTGACGCGGCTGACGCGGCTGACGCCCATGCGTGTTACACATTGCACTAACTCACACACGACCGCTACCACACCAACAAGGTGGACATTGAACATGGAACATTGAACAGGCTACCGGTGGCACATTTAACAGGTTGTAAGTTCATTGGCTGGGCAAAGGGCCGCGTCGCTACTCCGCGCGATGGGATGCCCCCGGAAGGTCAGGCACCGAGTCTCTCGCGCGCCGAGTAGCGACACGTCCACTCTCCCGCCGCTGACAGGCCGACTCCACCCAGCGTTTCCTCACCCTGTCTCACTCGGACCTCGGGGACGCGAGGTGCGAGGGGGACACAGCGAGGACAGCGGCGTTCGGACTCAGCCCGCGGGGCACTCCGACGACACTCACGTGCTTGTGCGGTCGCGGACCGCGGCGGCGGCCTGCCGACGTGCGGCGCCCGGGCGCGGGGCGCGCTGGCCGCGCTGGCGGCCTGGTTGTTGTGGCTGATGGCGTCCATGGAGGCGGACTGGTGCACGTTGCGCGGCGCGCGCTGCAGGCTGGGCTCGGGCGGCGTCATGTAGTGCGGCGGGTCGTAGGGCCCCGTGGCGGAGCAGTGGGGGCGCGCGCCCACCCGCGGCGGGATGCCGTAGAGGCCCTCCCAGAAGAAGGGCGCCTGCACAACGGCAACAACGTCAACGACGTCAATGACTCGAACGGCCGGTGTTGCGCGGACTCCAGCAGGACTCCGGGACTCACCCCGTCGGCCTGTGCCGCCTGCAGTCCGCTGGTCCCCGCGACGGACTCACGCGCCGTCTCCGGCGGCGTGGACCGCGCCTTGACCTTGGTCGCGTCCCTGGCGGGGTTGCTTGTGGGGTCCCTGGCGGGGTCCTGGGGCTCCGCCGTCGCCTGGTCCCTAGCCCTGCCGGGCTCCGTGGCCGGAGCCACCACGGCCCTCACCGGCGAGGAGATGAGCCTGCGACAACCAGCACGCCGTCGAGACTCGGAGCCGGGCCGCCTGTCCCTGGCTGCCCCGGCCGCCCTGGCCGAGGCCGTGGAGGCCGCGACGCGTACTGACCTCTGCTCGCCCTCCTCCTCCGCCACGGCCGCCTCCGCCGGCGGCGAGAGGATGGAGTTGAAGCGCAGCGAGCGAAAGCCGCGGCCGCGCAGCGACAGTCGGAACGACCGGCGGGCGCGTTGAACTGCAAGCAAGTCCGCGTTGTAGCGACGCTCCAAACCGTGACGCCTTTGGACGCGAATAGCGCGCCGCCCCTTTCAAGCTCCAAGTCTCGACACTCACATCTACTGAGGCGGACCGGGTCGGTGGCGAGCAGTGGCAGCGGCTCCGGCGTCAGCTCGTCGAAGTTGATGATGTACAGCATGATGTCCTCCTCCACCACCCTCACCGGCGCGATGGTCTCTGAGCACAGGAATTTGGTCCCTGCCGGCCGGGGAGCCGAGGTCGAGATCGGTTAGCAGAAGCAGTAACAAACATTTTTCTCTGGCGAGCCCAGCATCGGCGCACTGTCACACTGACCATCTTTTCTGTAGTACACGACTTCGAAGTGCTGCTCCAGGTAGTGCTTGAAGGCCTCCCGGATGGACAGCACGGCGCACGGCGAGGTGAGCGGGCCGTGCAGGAAGTCGCACACGGCGGAGCGCTGCACCACCTCGCCGCGCGAGAACCCCGACATGGTGCAGAAGCCGTCCGAGCAGTAGATGATGAAGGTCCTCTCCCGGAACGGGAACGCGTACGGGGAGTCCCGCTCGTTGGCCACCACAAAGGAACGGCCTGCAACACAGACCGTTGTTACACTGTGAGAAAAAAGTACGGAACATGTCTGGTCAATAATTTGCCTGGAACGTCCGTACTTGCCAACTAAGGAACGTTCCGTACTTTTTTTCCGTACCCATTTACATGGGTTCATATGTACCTCCGTTCTATATTTTTCTGTACCATTTCCGTACAAAAGTACGGAATTTTTTACAGTGTACCCTCGCGGCGGTCGTGAAAGAGGAGCGAAAACACGCCAACTACAAACAGAACGAAATTTGAATTTTTATTCGCGGGGTGGTAATCCAGCCAGGAAGGTTGTTCTCAGTTCTCGGCGAGTTTTTACTCCTGCTTTATACTGTCGATCCCGCCACACGCGACCGCTCGGCGTGCGGCGGGGTGCGGCGCACAGCATTCCATGCAGTGTATGATGCAACGGGAATAAAGCGCGGAATGACGGCGGCGAGCGGCAAGCACGGGACCGAGCTCCGAAAAGTCTGGCAGTGTTCCCGCCACTTATAGAACAGTGCAAGGAGCAGCCGAAGGCAGCCGAAGGGAGAAAGAAGGGGCGAGGCTGGGCGAGGCCGGCAAGGGGGTTCATATCCACTTTAAGGGTTTCACAGTCGGCTGGCAAATAGCGGCCGCACTGAAATATTTGCACGACTCTCCACTAAAGCCACCCCCTCGGCCGGCGCGGCCCCGCCCGGCCCGGGCGCACCCCTTCGCCACGCCTCGGCGGTGCGAGAGAGACAGAGAGACAGGCTTCGCGGTGCCACGGCGGTGCCACGGCGGTGCCAACGGGGCCGGCAATCTAATCCCGTTTTACGGTTGCACTTTTTTATGGACCGGCCCGTCCCATGCGTGCCGGCGGTGCCGGCGGTGCCGGCCGAGGTGGTGCTGCTGCCGGGGCTCCTTTTGGCCGTGTCGGCCCACTTCCCGTGCCTCGTGCCCCGTTCCTTGTTCCTAATCAATATTTTCCAGCCGGCTGATCCCGTTGTTCAGACGTCCGTCTGGAGGGAAGATCGGCGTTCAACAAGACGAACCCCTCGTGGGTTTCACAGTGCTGAGGTTGGGCCCACCACCGCATGAACCTCGCCGGAGCACAGTGGGCCAGAAGACCGGTGGAGGCGGCCAAAACTCTAGACGCGTTTTGAGCTCCAGAGTCACTAAACAGGCCTCGAACCGAACGTGTGACCCTACCAATGGATTCCTCGTTCGGAGAGCAATCCATTGGTGGGGTCACACGTTCGGTTCTAGTCCTAGCGACGCTGCAGCCCAAAACGCGTCTAGAGTTTTGGCCGCCTCCACTAGTCTTCTGGCCCACCGTGCGGAGTGCACCCGAATGGCGCATCAGGGCTACCGACCCGGCTGGCTCATTTGCATACGCGACAGCGAGTCGGAGGATCGCGTGTGTGGTGGAGCGACGGCGCGGCGGTTCCGGAGGCAACAGGCGAGCACGGCGACGTGCTTCTCGAAGCGGTGCAGCACCGTGCACTCCGAGGGCCGAGGGCCGAGGCAGGCCGCCAAGGGCGCGGCGCCCCGAGGGCCGAACTGTTATGTAGGTTATGCCGCCCCGGCCTCGACACCTCGCGGCCAGCGACCAGCAGGCAGTCGCTCCGTCTCTCTCGCACCCCCGCGGGACGCCGGGACGTCCGTATGAGTGCGAGAGGGACAGAGCGACGAAGTTCGGAATCAGTCTGCCGCGCACCCGCCCGCAAGTCCCCCGGCGCGGCTCTGCAGTTACGAGACTTCGGCCGCGCTGCGCCGGGCGGAGCTGCCAAAGTTTGATTTGATTGGCAGACGCCCGCGCCGCGCCGCGCCTCGCCACGGGCCCGGTGGGCAGCGCAGCACGGCAGCGCGGCAGGCCATTTCAATGACCGGAATAGACCGGCCACGACACCCAAAGGTTTTCAGGGCGGTCCCGCGCAGCCTAGGCGCCCTGCACGTCGCGCTGTCTCTCTCGCACCCCTGCCGAACCGCCCCGTAGGTGCGAGGGAGACAGAGCGACGAAGGCACTGTCCGGAATCAGGCCGGAGACGCCCTGATTGGCGGGTGAGTTGGCCAGTCAGGCGTAAGGGCCTCGCGGGGCGAACAATAGGTAATTGGTCTCTAAGAGCCGACCCACCTAGTCTGATTCCGAGAGTCGGTCTTATCGCTCTGTCTCTCTCGCACTCATGAAGCGACCCTCATACTTGCGGGAGAGACAGCAACGAAAGCGACTCTCGGAATCAGTCGTCGATCCGTGGAAGCAGTGCAAAGGGGTGGATGGTCGCGGCTGCCGATCGGTGCACATGCGGTTGCCTGCCTGCTGCCTGATTGCCCGCCTGCCGGAATGGATTGACTCCCCACCGTAAAACCTGGGACGGGCAATCGTCCGAATAAGACCACTGCCAAGGCCACCACCACGACCACCACCGCGACCAACACCCTGACCACCACCCTGACCACCACCCTGACCACCACCGTGGCCGTGGCGGGCCGCTTTAGCCGGCGGCATGGCATGGCGTGGCACGGCGTGGCGCCTAAGCGGATTCCTCTAACAGCAGCGCGCTGGGGCTTCGGGCTTGTGTCAAGTGTCAGCGGGGGGCGACACGTGATGCGGCAGAGCGATTCCGAGCAGAGTGCGTCTCTCTCGCCTGCACGGGGCTTGGCATGGGGCGCCGCGGGGGTGCGAGAGGGACAGAGCGCACAGTGGGCCAGAAGCCGGTGGAGGCGGCCAAAACTCTAGACGCGTTTTGAGCTCCAGAGTCGCTAAATGGGACTCGAACCGAACGTGTGACCCCACCAATGGATTGCTCTTCGAACGAGGAATCGATTGGTGGGGTCACACGTTCGGTTCGAGTCCCATTCAGCGACTCTGGAGCTCAAAACGCGTCTAGAGTTTTGGCCGCCTCCACCGGCTTCTGGCCCACTGTGGAGCGACGGTTCGGAATCAGTCAGCTGCGGCCCGAGCGGGATGCAGTGGTCGGCGAAGCGCGCCGTTTTGCTCTCGCGAGTGGAGACACAAAATTTGGGTGCCACCCCAACCCTTCCCCTTCAACCCTTGATCCGACTCCGCCGCGGCTGGCTCCGCCGTCGTCCTCCTCGACCCGTTCGGATGGCGGTATCAGGCGCTCCCGGGGGACGGGAGGGGAGGAGAGCGGGGAAGGGGAGGGGGAACATAAAACCGGTTGTCGTCGCACGGCCGTGGCACGGCGGCACGGCGGCACGGCCACGGCGCAACCCGACAAGCAACAAAGGGCACAACATGCTCCCCTGGCTCCGCGCCCCCAGCCGCCCCTGGCCGCCCCTGGCCGCCCCTGGCCCTGGATCCGCCACTGCTTCGGTGCGGGAACCTTTAAAAAGTTTGCCATTTCGCGTGACACACTTCGCTGCCCCCGCCAGGAATTAGCCCGAAACAGTGAAACGGCGAAACGGCGTCCGTACCTGTTGGGACCTTGGTCGCCTTTTCGTCATGAGGACTCATACCGCGGCCGTCCTCAACTCTCGAAAACGAACCGAGAATTAAGGACCTCGCGACAGAGACATCATGGCACGCTGCATTAAACATGGACTTGGCCGCCGTAATTGTCGAGGTAATTCGGACTGACTGACACGGCGCGGTCGATGTGAGTCCAAGTTCGACCGTGGCGCGCCGTGGCGAGGAGGGGCGGCACTCCCGGCACTCCACACTCGTCAAGCAAGCCTTCGGCGCGGAAGGCAGGCCGTGATACGCCACGCCCGGCGTCTGTCTCTCTCGCACCCTCGACGCCGCTGCCCGTGAGTGCGACAGAGACAGAAGCGACGGCACGACTCTGTCTTCGGTCTGCGCCTGGAGTGCGCGGTGGTGGGGTTCTTGACGGCCGCCCCTCACAGTGGGCCACGGGGCCGACGGAAAAAAGATTGAGATGTCGAACGATGGCACACGCTCGCTAATCCCACGACTTTAACGGCTCGGCTAACCTACCAAATATGAATCGGGACGGAGAAAATTAAATGTTATTTTCAGCTATAGTAGCGGAGAGGAGAGGTTAGGTAGCATAGGCCGGGCTACCGGCCATCTCAATTTTTTTCACCTGGCTGTCCTAGGGGGGGTGGGGTGGGGGGGGGGGGGGCATCAGAGCGTAGCGTTGCATCAGGCCCACATTCAAATTCAATATTTTTATTCAGGTCGGTCAAAATAGGTAGGTTAGTTGTCGGCGTCAAATGATAAAGGCCCTTGTAATCCAAAACAAGAATAATTGAAATATGCCAGCAGTCGGTGAGCGCTTGACGCTTGTAAGCACAGCAGCCTTAATTTCGCGGCCTCGACGACAAAATATAAAAACAAAAACAGCGTGTCATTCAAATGGTCGATATTCGGTGCAGTCCGCCCCGCCCCACCCCCGGGGGTCCCTCCCACTGTCCCGCCCCAATCCCGTAAAAAGGTCTACACACGCAATGCGGCATGATGCAAAGTCGGCCAAGAAAGCGACAGGCCGGCCGACCCATTGTCCGGCTCGAGAAATAATAACAATCTGCCAGTGTGGGTCTGCCGGATTGACAAAACGGGCGGTAAATCTTCGTTAGCGTGCCACGCGCGCGCCGTGACTCTGTGACGCCGAGGCCGAGGCCACGGGGCAGCCGGTGCGGCGGCACGGTGGCACGGCCGCGCGGCCAGGTCGTTTTGCGAGTGAATAATGCAGGGCAGCCAATAGGACGGGGACACACTGTTTGAGGCCCCCCTCCCGAGCCTCCTCCTCCAATCCACGCGGCGTACTGCTGCTGTCCCAAGCAGCTCGTATCGAATAACGATACTGCAGCGCCCAAAGACCCCCGTGGAGCACTAGCCACTTCTGGTCTCCTGGCGACTCGGCGGACTCGGTGGACTCGGCGTCAGTGCACTGCTGGGTCAGGGGCGCGGTAGAGACGGGCGATTTTGCGATTAATCGCAGGTGCGATGCGATTTTTTCAAAAAATCGCGGTGTGATTTCGGTTTTTGAACCTCGGCGATTAATCGAAAAATCGCTAAATCGCAAAAATCGCACCGTGCATGGATTTCGCGACCACTGCACCGAACGAGGCTGGCGCGTGTTGTCGGTGCCACTAGCCTGCCATTTGACCACTCAGGAATTTGTTTGGGCACTTTTTAAAAAGATTTTGTGCCGTAATGGGTAGTATATAAGTATTGTTGCGTTTGTTTGCGATTTTTGCGATACTTGCGATTTTTGCGATTTTTGCGATTTTGCGATTAATCGCATGAAATCGCGATATATGAGAAATCGCAATCGCGATACTAAAATTTGGAAATCGCCCGTCCCTAGGGCGCGGCGGCCCCGTGGGGAGTGGGACCCCAGGCCCCGACTGCACTGTGAGTTATTCTTTTTGAGGATGAGGATCGCCCTCACGAACCGCGACAAAGCGTTGTTGTTGTCGTGTTGATGTATTTTTGCAGTTCCGCGAGAATGATATAACTTGGCTGTGCATTGCCATTCTCATCCCGGGGACGAACGACGCGCCCGGCGCGGCCGGGCGCCACGACGACGGGGCACAATAAAAAGAGAGGCAGCTTAGAGGCGCTGCGCTGTGCGCCGCCTGTTGGTTTGGGGTGCACACTGGAAAACGGAAAACGGGGAGGGGGGAGGGGGCTGTGCGTTCCCGGGGGAGGGGCGAGGAGGGGAGGTGGAGGCTCGACTCGCCGGAGATGCACTCCAGAGGCGCCGCTCCAGGCTGGATCCATGCTGGAGCCCGGCTGGAGGCTCCAGACAGGCTCGCTCTGTCTCTCTCGCACCCATACAGTATGTGCCATAAAGGGAGAGAGAGTGCCCCCTGCATCGGTCTGCTGCACTCAGATGACCGCTGTGGTTTCTTTAGTAGGATTTTTTTTTTGGCCGGGGAATCAGCACTAGTAGGGGTAGTGTGACTAAACGGCCCGAGAACGGGGTGCCGTCTGAGCGGCGCAAGGAATTGTAAGTCGGAAACGGGATTTGCATACTTGGCCGCTGTATCCACACTCTCCCTCTCTCTCGCACACACTCATACGCGGCCCGCACAACGTCCGTGTTATTGGCGCCGCGAGTGCCGGTCTAGGCTTACCCAAGGAGTGCCCGGCCCGAGGGGTGCCCGAGGGGAGGGGAGGAGACTCGGGTGGAAAGGGGGAAGGTGGAAAGGACTGCCCCCACCTTGTGTGTTGACGCTGGCCCCGGCTGCCCCCGGCTGCCCCCAGCCCCCACTCCAACCCCACCCCCCGCCCCCCGCGGCCCGGCGCGGCCTGGCGAGGCCTGGCCTTGCACGCTAGGGCGCACCGCTGCAGCCAATAAGGGTCTCCCGAATGCTGGTTTTGTGGCGGCCACGGCGGCCACGGCGGCCACGGCACTGCTGACCCTTCCCCCACACATCACCGCCCTGGCTGCCCGGCCGGGGCGTCGCGCGCGGAGCCGCCAGCCAGCGGAGAGAGAGCGGGCTGCTTGAGTACTTAGATCGATCCGGTCACTGTGAATAATTCCAGCAATGCCGGCAAACAGTCCGCGCCCGGGTGGCTCCGGTGATGGTGGCCAAGGACTCCAAGTTTCAAGGGCGAGGGCGCCTGTCCGTGGCGTCAGGCCCATGGACATGCAGGGCATCGGGGCTCGTCGCGGGCAGCGTCCACGTGGTCGCCTGCCACCCCTGCAGTGTTCCATCGCTCTGTCTCTCTCGCTCCCCTACGGAACGCCGAATGGTTCGAAATCTGTGGGTTCGAGAAAGACAGACTGACGGGACTCCTGCGCGGAAATGAGCCTGCTGCTGCTGGGAAGGCTCCCGCCGCGACCTTCCTGCACCCTTGCTACCGGAAGCCGCCTGACGCGAGGCTAGACGCGAGGCTAGACGCGAGGCTAGACTACCCGCCCGCCTCAAGGACTCCCAATGCCTCCGTGACTGGCCTACTCGGTCACCCCCCCCCCACACACACACACACACACGGCCGGTAATGGGTCGCTAGTGGCAGGCGCACTCACACAGACACAGCCCTCTCCCTTTCCTCTGCCGGTCGTTGGCATCGCGTCCGAGGCATGACGGGCACCCTGGCCCTGCCCGGCCCTGCATATGCCACGGCGAAGAATAACATTGACAGGGGCGTGTGCGACCGGCTGGCGGGGCTGGCGGGGCTGGCGGGGCTGGCGGGGCTGGCGGGGCTGGCGGGGCTGGCGGGGCTGGCGGGGCGGAACCGACAACTCACGGGGCTTTTCATACGTCGCGCTTTAGTCAGCCATCCGGCATTCGGGTTCGTCAGGACGACACGGTGTTGTTTGAGTTTCGCGGGGGAAGGGGGAGGGGAGGGGGAGAGAGGAGGGGGAGGGGGAGGGGAGGGGGAGGGCGAGGGGAGGGGGAGGGGGGAGGGACTGAGGGAACGCTCCCCATGCAATAAGGTGCGCCGCACATTCTACCGCCAGCATCCGGTTTTGGAGACGCGGATTCCTTCCGGGAGAAAAAGGGCCGCACTGCGATGTCAACAACAACAACAACAACAACAACATCAACCAGGGCAGCCGAGACAGAGCGAGAGAGGTAAGAACGGTGAGACGACGTACACCTGCGCCGTGCTGAAGTGCACTTCAAGACAAGTTGCTCGTTGTATCGGCACAAAGGAGGAACCGAAATCAGTAAGCGGGGGCGGCGGGTTCAAACGGCGAAGTTGAAGTTCAAAGAGCGAGTGGCGGGGGTGCTTCCACGTTGCACGCTAGGGGCCTAGCTAGGCGCGGCCCCTGTCGTCGCCAAAGCAGCCAGAGCTTTCCAGCGGCATCCTTGCAAAGTTCCCGCCGTGCCGCAGTGTCCCGCATCGCGTCCCTCCGACTGTCTCTCTCGCTCTAAAGCGCGCGGCTCGCAGTCATAAATCGGCGGCAGGTCGAAAGCAGAGCGCGGAGGCCGCACGCGGGCCGCACGCACCCCGCCGTCAAAAGCACGCCGTCAGAGGTGGCGCACTGCGGTGCCTCGTCGCTCTGTCTCTCTCGCGCACCCCTGGCCCCGCGGCACGCAGCGTGGGTGCGAGGGAGACGGAGCGACCTGGCGCCATAATGCGGCCCGCACGCCAGGCTCGCCAGGCACGCCAGCGACACGGCGAGGCGGGGGCGGTGCAGCACTGTAGGGCGGCATGCCCGGCCTCATGGCCCGGCCCTAACGGCGGCCAGAGCGGCCAGAAGCCAGAACAACAGGTTGCAGTGCGGGCTGCGGGCTCATCTTTCACGTCATTCACTCTCCCCAGCTTTGTTGTCGCTTCTGCCCTGTCACTCTCGAAAATTATTCAGTTCGCCTGCACGGAAAAAAAGGATTAGTTGTAACAACTAACATGTTGGTTGGAATGCGTCCAAGGAAGATTTTAGTTGCTGCGGCTAAAAGTTTGCTGCAGGAGCAATAATATTAGTTTGACCAACTAACAAATTAAAGTTGGTACAAGGATAAAGTTGATTGTGCCTACAATATGTTAGTTGTGATGACTAACATGAGCGTCACGAGAGAAAATAAGCTTCGTATAAGAAAAACCTTCAGCGGGTATCGATCGCGGAATCTGTGATCTGAGAGCTGCTGAGGCTATCCACTCCGCTGTGGTGAGCTGATAGCGGGAGAATGCCCAATGACGCTGATACAGCAAACTAACCGATGCTAGGACAAGCGACGATTAAATCATCGCCCGAAAGTCGGGTCTCCTAAGAATGTCCGCAGCGCAGTGGGCAGCGTCTCTGATTGACAAACGACAGATCCTGAGTTCGATTCCCGCCGCAGACTTTTTTCTGTGCGTGGTTTATTTTCTTCCGTGACGCTCGTGTTAATCCTCACAACTAACATAGTGTAGGAATAATCAACTTTATCCTTGAGCCAACTGTAGTTTTTTAGTCGTTTCAACTTATAAATTCGTTCGAGCAGCAAACTTTTAGTCGTGAAAACTAAAATCTTCTTTGGACGCTTTTCAACTAACATGTTAGTTGTCACAACTAATCCTTTTTTTCCGTGTGATGCGAGCCCGGCGGCCTTGTCGCGGCGCGTCCTTTCACGACGTCAGGCTGAGTTCAAGCAGCGGTTTGTCGCTGTCTCTCTCGCACCCCTACGGAACGCCCCATGGGTGCGAGAGAGACGGAGCGAGCCGGAATCGCTCGGCTGGCGCCGATTGTCCGCCGGAAGGGAGGGCGACTGCACTGCCAGCATCCACTTGCACGGCGCGCCACGCGGCCTAGCCTCGCGGCGGGGGCGTTCCATTCATTTCCCGGGAGGGGCGTTCTTTTCATTTTGCGCGCTTTCGGCGGCCAAGCCGTGCTGTCCTGTTGGCGGAGGAGGAGGAGGACTACGCGAAAACGCGACGAAAACGCTGCTCAGGGTGCTCGCCACGACGGGCGGGTGACAGCGGCCAGGGCGGCGGCACGGCACCACTCCACTCACAGTGCGTGTTGAACTTCCGGATGATGGTCTCGATGAGGGTGGTCTTGGGGGCGATGTGGCCCCGACGCATCGCCATCGCGTCCGCAAGGTCCGCGGAGCCCTCGGCGCCGTCCTAGCCGTCCGAGACGTCCCCGTCGACCTCGGTCAGTGGTCCACCGCCGTGGGGAGGTCATGTCCCCGGCCCATCAGCCCCCGGAAGCAGTCACACGTCGGCGGGAAGGTGCTGCTGCAGGGGCAGCCGCCGCCGAGGTGTCCCGGATGGTCCCGGACGCGACTCCGCGGCGTGCGCGTCGCGTACGTCAACAAACGACCGGGGCCCGGGACCTCCCTGTACAGCCCAGCGCGCTCCACCCGGCGTAGCAGACGACGCTCGACTGAGCAGGGCGCCGGCACCGGCCCTTCCCCGCGGCGCTACTACCCCCTCCCTCCCCCTGCCGGCGCCGCGCCCCGCGCCCGCCCCGCGCACTCACTAGCAGGTAGTGCTGCCGAAAGGCACCGGCTACACAAATAAACGGCCGGGCCGGTCGACGAGTGCGACGAGTCCGACAAGTAAAGTCCCGCACCGGCACCGGCAGGCAGTCGGTATCTCGCGGCCCGGGGACAAGGCCGGCCGGCGGGGAAGTCCCACGGTGGACCCAATCACCCAACCCCCAGGGGCAGGTCGTGAGGTCCACTCCGGGCAGTGCCCTCGACGCCCTGTCTCTCTCGCACCCGTTGGGGCGTCGCGTTGGAGAGCGAGCGAGACAAAACGCGCTTGCTGCCGTCCTCCGTCCTCCCCGACAGCGCTACTTGGCTTGTAAAGTCTCGCCCGGCCCGGCCTGGCCTGGCCGGGCCCGCGCAGCGCGCTCTGCCTCGATACATTCGATTCGATAATACCGCTCAGCGGGGCGTTCACTCGACACATTACCGGCTGGGGGAGGGGGAGGGGCGCGCTTCGACTCTCTAGACTCCTCTCTTGATCTCGTCTCACGCGCTGCTCGACGTTTGGCGCGGACGGAGAGGATAATGAGAGAACCTAGCGTAAGAAGAGAGGCAACGAAAATAGCATCTCATCCAAGCGGGTCCCGAACAACACACTGCCCTGCCTCTCGCTCTCGCAGTCTCGCCCCCCCGGGTGGAAGGGAGTGCAGTTTTGACTGAGTGCAGACTACAGTCATAAACTGCAGTTCAGAAACGCCAGTTTTAAAAGTACTTTAAATGTAGTTTAACTCTGTAGATCGAAACGTAGTATAGAGGGCATTTTCAACAGCAGTACAGGTACAGTTAAATTGCAGTCTCACGTGCAGTTCTTAAATACAGTTTTAACTCCAGTGTAGTCGGAACTTAAATTGTACTTCCGTTTGCAAAAAGCAAGCACACTTCGGGAGTGTAATTAAATTGTTGTTTGACTACAATTTTGGTTGCCCTTTTTTGCAGTTGTTTAAGCAACTTCACAGTTCAGCCAAATCAGTGTTCTATTTTGTCCCAATTCCAAATGATTTCACGAAATTCTCCAAATTTAGTTCCTTTTGTGTGTTTGAATAACCAGAATATTGGTGTTCAGTCAGTTGCACGGAATTCGTTAAGATAAAGCAACGGCAGCAGTTCTAATACGGATTCTTTTGGCCCTATCGTTTATAAAAATTATCCGCTAACAAAATTGTGAGGCTTACGGTATAAAACGTGAGTTTGCGTAGAAATTGTGATAGCCAAGTGCACATTATCTATGGTTATGCTGCATTAAAACTGTAGTTGAACTGCAGTGCCCGATCAGTGGGTCACGAGAGGGGGTCTTGTCATGTGGTCCGGGTCGTGCACGTCTCCGGACACGCCCGCCTGCCAGCGTAGTGGTCAAGTCCTCCGCTCCACGACCCGGAGGACCGTCGTTCGAATACCATCACCGCCTTCAACTTTCATCAACAAAAGTCGTTGAGTAACGAAGGAGAAGGGGGTTGGGTGGGTGGGAGAGAGTTCCCGAAGAACAAGGAATAAAGTTTTAAAAAATAAATTTTAAAACTGTAGTTAAAAGATACTTCGCAACTCCAGTTTTAACTGCTATTTTAAAAACGAGAGATGACCGTAGTCAAAACTGCAGATTCGACTGCAGTATTACAAAAAAACTACCAGTTTATTTGCAAGAAAACTGTAGTTAACTGTAGTTTAACTGTAGTTTCACTACAGTTAAACTGCTGTAATTACATAAGTCCAACTGCAGTCTAAGTATATATTTTTTTGTATGCAGCCTGCCATTTGTAACACTAGATAAACTTCAATTTGAGTCCAGATGCAGTACAGTTATTGTAGAGTTGTAGATGCATTTTAAAATTGTAGATTTGACTACAGTTCGTTCCACCCGGGCCCCCACCACACACACACACACACACACACACACACACACACACACACACACACACACACACACACACACACACACACACACACACACACACACACACACACACACACACACTCTCACACACACACACACACCGAGCGGGCAGAGCAATAAACGCCTTGCAGTCGCTCACCTTTTAAACAGAGCGCGAGCAGCCGTGCCAAAGGCGCCACACTTGTCGCGCGAGCACGTCGAAGTCAAGCAGCCAGGCGGCAGGGCCTCGACGGCGTCGACGGGGGGGCGGACGGCCGGGAGCAACGCACGTTCGAGTGGGCCCTCCCGCGACGCGCGGCGCGCGCGGACCCGGCAGAGGCACTCGTGCCTTTTGTCCCAGCTGTGGCCAGCCCGCCCCGGCCTCCACTAAGTGTTATAACGTGAGCCCACTTCCGGTGGCGCCCGTTCCGGCACTTCGGGCCGACCCAGTTCCCACGGGCCGACAACAAGGTCGACAACAAGGTCGACAACGAGGCCGGCCGAGCCTAACAGCTCTAGACGCTCTTGCAGTGGGCAGGCGGTGGGGGTTTTCTCTAACCTGGAAGGTCCCCCCCCCCTCCCAACTCCCACCCCGATGCACTGGCACTGACGTTTTCAGGAGCGCTCCGCTCGCAGTGATAGAACGGTTCCCCGGGAGGGTCGCCCCACGGCTGCATGCACATCGTGACTGAGGGCTCAAAAGAAGAATGTTTTAATGAAAAGAGCTTTGCTGCTGTGCCTTTGCTTTTTCCTCTCCGCACAGAAGCGAAGGCTGTCTGCTGACCTTGGGAGGGAGGAGAACCAGTCCAGGGTTCGCCACGGTTGTTGAGGGAGAACGGCACTGGCGGCGGCGGCCCGCGGCACGGACTCTCGGGCGCGCAGGTGAAGTGTTCGGCGGCGATAGCGACGGGAGGTCGAGGACGGCGACGAGGAGGAGAGGGAGGCACCGCTCATGGCGACCGGCCTGCCTTGCCTGCCTGCCTTGCCTGCCGGCCGCGGTTGGGGTATTTTCGGGCAGCCGTGACGTCACGCGCGCTGCCGGCGTGCGCCAAGGCGTGCGCGTGGCCAGGCGGCCAGTGAGCGAATATTTCGGTGGCGCCTCTACACCGTGCCGACGTCACACCAGACAGAGAGAGGGAGAGAGAGAGCGCCCGGCCCGCAGCGCCCCGCAGCGAGCCGCGGAAAACGACTGGATATTTTTGCCCGCCTCGACACGTTCACACCTACCGGCAGCGGGGCCCCGACCGGTCGGCTACTTGTCAGTCTGCCCTGGTGGATCGGTCGGACGGGATCCGGACGCCAACCGTGGCGTCCAGGTGGCGTCCAAAATGTTTCAAATAGGACCGTTTGTGGACTGCGTCCCTGCGAGGTCCACCGGCGTCCAATTATCGTCCAGTACGCCCGCGCAAGGTCCATAAAGGGTCCACAAAGGGTCCATGTGGGTCCGTTGGGGTCCGTGGGGGTCCGTGGGGCGTCCGTGCTAGGTCCGTTGGGGTCAGTGTGGCGTCCATACTGCGTCCGTTGGGGTCAGTGTGGCGTCCATACTGCGTCCGTTGGGTCCCGTAGGGCGTCCGTACTGCGTCCGTACTGCATCCGTTGGGATCCGTGGGGCGTCCGTACTGCGTCCGTTGGGATCCCTGGGGCGTCCGTACTGCGTCCGTTGGGACCCGTGGGGCGTCCGCGATGCGTCCGTTAGGGTCCGCACGGCGTTATCTAACTGGGGCCCAAAGGGCTCTTATAGGCGCTTATGGACGCTAACGGACGCACTTCGGACTTTGGATGTGTGGACCCATAAGGACGCACTTAGGACCCTGGTTGCGACCACTCGTTGGAAAGGTCTCACCAAGACCTGTTCGAATCTGCAATAAAAAAAAATTGTTGGTCACCCCCCTTTTTTCAAGATACTGATTTTTTAACTCTATTTTGAAAAAAGGGGGGTGACCAACAATTTTTTTTTATTGCAGATTCGAACGGGTCTTGGTGAGACCTTTCCAACGAGTGGTCGCAACCAGGGTCCTAAGTGCGTCCTTATGGGTCCACGCATCCAAAGTCCGAAGTGCGTCCGTTAGCGTCCATAAGCGCCTATAAGAGCCCTTTGGGCCCCAGTTACATAACGCCGTGCGGACCATAACGGACGCATCACGGACGCCCCACGGGTCCCAACGGACGCAGTACGGACGCCCCAGTGATCCCAACGGACGCGGTACGGACGCCCCACGGATCCCAACAGACGCAGTACGGACGCAGTACGGACGCCCCACGGACCCAAACGGACGTAGTATGGACGCCACACTGACCCCAACGGACCTAGCACGGACGTACCAGGGACTCTAAGGCAAAACTCAAGCGGCGTCGCACTTCGGACCACTAGCGGACCTTTGGGGCGGACTGGACGGACGCACTGCGGACATATCCTGGACTTCCATTTTTGACCGGCTTCGGACCCAAACGGACTTACCAGGGACTCTCAGGCAAAACTCTCGCGGCGTCTCCCGCCGGACCACTGGCGGACCCTCTGGTGACCATTCACGGACTTCAAGGACGTATTGCGGACTTCGTAAAGTTTTCTATGAAGTTTGGCGGACGGCAGGTGACCCAATGCGGACGCTTGACAGACGCTGTTTTCTGTGCGTGGACCAAGCAGACGCAGAGTGGACCAACTTCGGACTCGAGTGGACTCCGAAAGGACGCTTGGGACCCTTATCGGACGACGTGAGACCGTGGACGCGCCGGGACGGCGAATGGACTGAAGGCTCCGGACGTCGCAGACTACAGCAGGACTGACTGTGGACCAGGAAGGACGCACTGGACTCAGTTCGGACTAGTTATGGACCCCCCAGGACCTCACGGACGGCAAGCAGACGCCATCTTTGCGTCCAGATCGGGTCCGAACGATCCACCAGGGTGCCGTGTGGAGCGAGAGGCGTGAGCGAGAGAGAGGGACAGATATTCTTCTAAATGTCTCCCGGCGAGCGCCTCACAGGCAGGCAGCCAGCCCCGCTCCACACTTCCATGCCGGCGTGTTGCCTACCCCGCAGGCGGCCTGCTCCCCCACTGTGTGTCCGACTGTGTCGCAGTGACCGCAGCGCAGGCCAGGCGCCACTCCGTTACATCGCACACAGTATACACTGCGGAGAAACGTAGCGCCGCCCAATCCCGGGCAAGGCTCTCGCCTGGCTGGGCAGGAAGGCCGACCGAGGCCGACCCGGCTGCCTGCATAAAGTCATATAGTGGGGGCTGGGCCGGGCCGGGCCGGGGGCTGCACCTCTCACTCCCTGTGGCAGTAAGTCTGTTTATTCTTGAACAGGAAGCGCTTTGGGCTGTCTAGGCCGCCGCGGTGCCGCGGCCGTCTAGAGGCCTCGAGGTCGCCTGCAGGACTGCTGCAGGACTGCTGCAGGACTGCTGCAGGACTGCTGCAGGACTGCTGGATCCGCTCCTCTTTGAATTGCAAAAGGGTCGGCACGCCTCTCCCTCTCGCCGCATGCAGCCACTGCACTCGGATGCACACGCCGTGCTGCTTCAATTGGCGCGGCAGGATCGAATCTGGGCCACGGCATGAGCCGACGCCGACGGCGGCCGACTGCAACAGAGAAGCCACCGAGATTGGGTTTGGCGCCGCGGCCTGTGTGCTCCAGTGAGTCCGGCCGGAGATGGGACCACGGGATCAGCAACTATCACGCCTGTGCCAAATCGACTGGCCCTATCTCGATGGCATGGGTCGCGCGGCGCGCGCAGTATCAAAAGTTTCGAGCAGAATGGACGTCCGTGGTCCGAACCCCCGGCAACCCCCCGGCCGAATCCGGGGCGCGGTCCTCCAAAATAATAGGGGTCTTTCCGATGGCTTCAGGACCGGAGCTCGTGAAACATCGTTCTGGCAGTGATTCGAGATTCGATTCTGTGAGTGTTCCGAGTCGGCGCCGCCACCCACCGGCCTGCTCGCTGGCCGGCTGGCATTCCCCCGTCCCGGTGGCGATGGCGATACCCCGCGCCCGCGACGCGCACCGAGTATCGCCAATCGCCAGCCTCGGGTGCTTGCTGTTGGTGCCGCGAGAGGGCGCCAGCGGTCGGGGGGAGTGTCTAGCAGACGCCACCAGCAGACGGCGACAGCAGACTACGTCTAAACTAATCGGAAAACGTAAACCCGGCCAGCTGCTGTCATGTCCTCGCCCGCAGCTTTTCCCTAATCAGCGCTTTGCTTCCTGTGCGTTTCTGCCTCGGTCGCTGGTCGACGGCATGGCGCAGGAACTGCTTCCAACGCCGACAGTGCCGCGGCTCTCCAGGGAATAGCTGACAAGGGCGAAGCGAAGCGAAGCAAACGTTCCCGCAGTCACAGACGCGCCATGGATTTCTTTTCGGACGGTCCGTCAGATGAGGACAAAATGTAAGACACGTTTTCTCTTAGTGTCAAGTGTCAAAATTTATCAAATATCGTCCAAATCATCCTGGTTTTGTTTTGTTTTGTTTTGTTTTGTTTTGTTTTGTTTTGATCCATGCTAGGATTTGTTTTTACACATTAACCTCTTTCATTCAACCTACATAGACTTCTATTTTAAATATCCATTCGCAGTCTTTGATTTAGTTTTCTATTCTCAAAGACAACCAAACTACTTCTGTTTGCTATTTGAATCGTTTTCAGCTAGTTAAACAACTATTGCTGGTTTGACATTCGTTAGAGATGTTTATGCCGCCACCCCTTGGGCTCCACTCTTCGGATGTGGACAACCGCCAAAGGGGTCCTTGTGGAAGAGAAGATAGGAAGTAGGTGTATTTATCAAGTTCTTCAAGTCACTCTGGGGGGCCTGGTGACGGTTGAATGTTGTGTGGTGGATCTTCCAAATCTGTAGGAATGAATGCGTTCAACGGATTCATTTCCTTCACTTCTATTCTCTCTCCCCTACAATAATTTTAATGGATAAAGACTTAAGAGAAAAATTGCTTTTGGGACTTCTGGTGGTCTGTCTTGTAGTGTTTCTGTGCTTTCTGGATTCCACAAGGGCCAATTTTTATATGTGTGTACTATGGGCTGTCTGCTATTTGAGTCACAGCCTCTCATTTCATGTGTATTAGCAAACAAAATCTTTATGGCAAACTCAATTATGCAAGTCGTAAAATTCTTTTTTCAGGTTGCTTGACTTGGGGGATGGTCAAAGCAACCAAAAGGAGAAAGTTGCAAAGAAGCAGCAGCCACAGAGGTAAATGTTTGTGTTAAAATTTAATTTGAGTGGTACTTGAGTACTTCAATACTTTGTTAATTATAAGATATGTCCAAACCCACCTTTCTTGATCAGGAGCCACTCCTTGGACAAATTGAATAAGGAATCATCAGGGAGGGAAGCATCAGGGGAGGCAGTTTTTCCGAGTCATGAGTATGGAGTGGAAGCTTATGGTGATGACTATCTTATGAATGGGTATCAAGATACAATGTGAGTTCTAGTTGTTGATTTACACTTAATAGTCTAGTCTAGTGGTGCTGACTTCAGTTCCCCATTTATGTAACATTGTTGTAGACCCCAATACATCAGTCGATTGATTTGCCAACTCAATTTGTCGCAGTATTATCTTTCCCCTTGCTCGCAGCATTGTGGATTTGAAAATATTTTGTTTGTGTACATAACTCTCACCATGATCAATGTAGTTTGCTGCATCACATTTTGTTTTAAAGATTATTCCACTTTTTTTTTTTTTTTTTTTTTTTAGAGAAATGTTGGACCAAATGAATTTTGTTTGCTCCTTTGTATGTGGTCCTATGGTTGTGGCCTATTATGCATGCCTACTGGAGCTTTCATTTTGGAGGTGTTGGATACATCCATGGGGTTGCTTTCAATATTTGTTTTGCACAAAGTGTTTTTCAGGTGTGGAAATGTTTAAAGTTCTCTCAAATTCATAATTTTTATTTCATAGCTCTGTTCAATAATTTCAGGGGCATGACTGTCACATCTGGAGTTGTCACTCTCACAAAGGAAAATAACTTTGTTGGTATAAGCATCGGAGGAGGAGCTCCCTTGTGCCCTTGCCTTTATATAGCGCAGGTAACAATAAAAATATGTTGAGCTTAGATGAAATTTTTGTGATATCCCCACTCTTTTAATAACAAAAATTAAATTTCATGTATTTTTTGCTTTTAAGGTTTTTGACAACACTCCAGCTTCCCGAGATGGCACATTACAGAGTGGCGATGAAATCATAGGTGTGAATGGAGTTTCATGCAAAGGAAAGACTAAAGTACAAGCTGCTAAAATGATCCAAGCCAGTAAAGTAGGTATTGTAAGGCTAATAACTCAGCTAATTATCACAAATGTTGTCTTGGGTCTAAATTGCAATTTTTATGAATATCTGTTCACAGGAGCTGGTGGCAGTTACCTTTAACAAATTACATGCAGACCCAGCAATGGGAAAGAGCCTTGATATTGTTCTCAAGAAAGCAAAACATAGACTAGTCGAGAAAATGAGTGCTACCACTGCTGATGCTTTGGGACTCTCACGTGCCATCCTTTGCAATGATGCCCTTGTTCGTAAACTAGATGAATTAAAAGCCATAGAAACTGAATATAGAGGAATGGTAGAACATGCAAAACGAGTCCTGAAAGCTTACTTTGAACTTCTGCAAGTGTATAAAGGTACACATAATACCATTCATTTTTCAACATCTTTTTAATACATTCAATTGATTTATCTGACAAAATGTTTTCTCCATGCAGCTTTTGGATGCACATTTGCTGAAATTGGCTCCAGAGAGCCTCAGCCTCGTGCTAGTGAAACTTTCACACAATTTGCCAACTATCATCGTAATCTCGAGAAACATGGAATTCAAATGCTGAGAACACTTAAACCGGTGTGTTTCCTTTCTGTGTAATGTTTTTGAGATAATAAGGTATAAGCTATTATTTGTTTTCTTATTTTTTCTGCCTCCACAGATTTTGTCTGATCTTGGAACTTATCTTCACAAAGCCATCCCAGACACACAACTAACAATAAAAAAATATGCAGATGCCAAGTTTGAGTACCTTAGCTATTGCCTGAAAGTAAAAGAAATGGATGATGAGGAGAAAGCCTTCAATGAAGTGAAGGAGCCCTTGTACCGTGTAGAAACAGGAAATTATGAATACAGGTTCGTTTCTTTTCTTTATTATTTATCAGTGCGTTACTTTGTCATAAAATCCTCATGCACACCCTTTATCTATTTTGTTTGAATCTAGGTTAATCTTAAGATGCAGGCAAGATGCTCGAGCAAAGTTTGCTCGTTTACGATCTGATGTCCTAGTCAAGCTAGAGCTTCTCGACAACAAACATGTCCAAGATATATCAGCTCAGCTAGAAAAGTTTGTTGGTGGTTTGGCGGCCTATCATTCTGCAGCATTGCAGACCTTGGATCCTCCTGATACCAGGCCATTATTTCCTATTGAAATGGATCTGTCCAGATCGGCATTTCAATATAAGAGTACTACCCCATTACAGGTAGGTTGTTGTGTACTCCTAAACCTATCATCATGGACTCTTCGTAAAAGTCTTGTCTCATGACTCTCTTTTTTTTCAAATGACCAGAATGATGGACAAGATGATGATGAAGATGATCAGCTTTTAACTGGTGAAGAAGCAAAGGAAGAGAAACGAGACGAGCCTCCTCTTCTTCTTCTTCCTGACCTTTAAACTTGTTCCAACTTTTCAATGAGAATGTTGGAAAATTAGCAGCGTAGACAGTTATCTATTTCCTAAACAAATTTTTACTGAAGAATGTGTTAATTACTATACAGTTTTATTATTTCTTACAAAACTTTCACTAAGCAAAGAAAATTAAATGTCAAAACTTGATCTAAAAATTATATGGCTGTTTGTACTTTAATTAATTGTATGTATTTTATTGAACATCATTTCCAGTACGTTGCAGCAGTAACTTGTATCATTCCAAAGAATTTTGTGATATATTTCCGTCAGTCCCAGTATTCCAAACATATGAAATGCATTTAAACTGTTTGCTATTTATGTGTGTGCGTGTGTGAGTGTTTTTGTCTGTGTCAAACTACAGTATTAAAATCACCTTGAATTACTGTTTGTAATATTTATCGGAGTAGATGACTCTCTTACATAATCACAGTATTATATGTAGAAACCTTAAATCTCTATGGGAAACAGCAAAGGTGTAATAAACATTCCTTTACCATTTCTTTGCTTGTTAACATATTTTTTTATTTATTTTTTAAAATCCTAATTGTGGTGTATTGCACTGAGTTCCAGTTTCATGACTCATTTACTGTTGTCTACGAGAAAGCTAGACATTTTTATCTTTCTACACACACTCCCACATCGCAGGGAAGGCCCACCTGTGATTTCAGTGTGGGACCATTTCCCTGTCGCGTGTGAATAGGCCTCCATTCCACCGCCGAGGAGTAAGCACAGAATGGAGGAGGCCCTTGTTTTTCTCGAGATGGTCGCCGAGACCCGCCGGCGCCAAGCCAAACGCCCCTGGTGAAACACCTCTGGGCCGAGCCACTGCAAAACAACAACAACTCAGCGCCGTGTTTTCGGCTTTCGGCCCCGTGCGTGTTTACTTCGCCCTTTGACGGAGGCAGCGCAGCCAAACAAAGGGCTGATTGTGCCCGCTGCCCTGTGAAGCGAAAGCGAAGAGAAGGGCACGAAGGCTCCGAAGGGGTGACTGCCTGCAGCCAGCAGCCCCAGCTGAGCTGGCCGGTGTGGCGTCGCAAGGCGCGCAGCCCTTGGCGCAGCCCTCCGCACATCCCCGCACTGCCCCGCACATCCCGCTAGTCCAGGATGACAGCGACGCCGCGTGTGCGGCGTGACGGACACCAGGGCCCGCGACGCGGCGACGCGCCACCATATGTTGACAACCACGGAGCGCCACCATGGGCTGCCATGGCTGCCATGGGCCCGCGGCGCTAGGCGCTGCCCATCCTTACAGCGCCATGGTTCCAAGCAGTCTGCCAGCCTGCCGCTCTCCGATCAATACGCCCCTCGCGGGGGGAGGGGGGGGAGGGGTTACGCGTGGGGAGGGGGGCGCAGCGGCGGGGCGCGGCGAGGGAGGGGGCGACGTGCAGGGTGCCGCGGGCACAGTGCCTGTTTAGTCCCTGTGCGTGGAACAAGGACCCAGGACCCCGAGTCTCAGTCTGTGGCGGAGGAATTGTCGTACTCGTTAGCTGTAGCCCGGCCCCGCCGCCACGCCGCCACGCCACCCCGCACCCCTAAAAACGAGTCGTTTGTTCTCTTCGGCCGGCCAGACAGGCCAGCCGCTAGACCCCACCCTGCCATGACGCCGGCGCCCGGGCCTCCGCCGCCGCGCACAGCGCCGTGCCTCCGCCTCTGCCACGCGCAGCAGCTGGAGCCCGAGTGGAGAGGGTAGGGCGGCAGGGCGGCAGCCTCTCGCAGGGGTAGGCCCAGGCCCAGGCCGCTCGGCGGGTCGCACTGTCGCTCGGCACAGACACGCACTGCACCAGCACCGCAGCATCAGCACCGCCGCCGCACCGCGCTAGCACCGCGCCAGCACCGCAGCCCTGGGGGAGCCGACAGCCGCCGGCGTCACCAACATGTCTGTCAAGGTGAGTGCACACGTGAGTGCAGCCGAGCGCCCTTGTCGGGACGAGACCCCGTAGTACTCCATACGCCGAGCACCGCCGCACCGCCGCACCGGGCGACGCCGCGCCGCCGCCGGGACGCCGAGAGCGAGAGGCCCACGCGGCCGAGGGGTGCGGGGTGCGGCGCTTCGCTTCTCCCTGCTTGGCAGTGCTTCGCGCTTCGCTTCGCACGGGGAGGGGAGACCTGGGGGGGCACTTGTCCTTGTTGGCCCTGTCCAGCCCTGTCCGTGATGGACGGCGTGGGCAATGCGGCGGCACGGCGGCGGCAGCACCCTGCCGACGCCCTGGTGAGTGGCGCGTGGGTACGTGGGTACACGGCGTGGCGTGGCCAGGCAGTCCAGGCAGCCCAGGGCCATGCCTCAAGGTCACGGAGCGTCGCCGAGCCAAATCCAATATCGCGCCCAGTCTGCCTTTCATTATTTTATCCGCTATTGGGGCGGGCCGCACTCGGCTGGACGGCGCGGGGCGCTAGCACCAGGGCGACCTGTTGGCGGGGGAAGCCGGGGAGGTAGGAAGGCTCCTTGGAGGGATGGCTTTTTCAATCTCAATCTCAGGGGGGCTTGTACTTCAAAGGGCGCCAACGTCGGTGCAGGATTTGGCGTCTTAGCGGCGTGGTGGCACCGCGGACGCCGTGATGGCGCCGCAGACGCCGTGGTGGAGAAAGCAGGCGTCCTGCGGCCGTGCGACCTGGGCGACCTCGGCCCCTCCGGCAGCAAGGGGAAATCTGTCACCCTGTCGGGGCGCGGGGCGCTGGGCCAAGCGCGGGGCACGCGAGTGCAAAGAGACGGGACTCTGCGTTCTGCTCGGCGCGTGTAGCGGCATGGGGTGGGGAAGGCTGGGGGTGGACGGGACGCAGAAGGCAATTAAACGGAGGGGTCCGCGTCGCCATGTCGCCGTCGGTCGCAGTCAAGCGGAACCCGCAGCTCGATTCCAAACATTGCCCGCCGCCCGCCTTCTCGCCCTGTCCTGGGGGGCGCCCCGCGGGGGTGTGAGGGAGACAGCGAGGAAGCGCTGTTCGGAATCAAGTGGCTGGACCGACGGTCCGGTACGAAGCTCGGGACTAACGAGGAGGGGACCTAGCAACCCCTTGTTACGGTCACAACGGTGCAGACTGATTCGCCCTGCGGGTGCGAGAGAGACAGAGCGCCACTTCAATGCTGGCGTGCGCCCGGGTGACACGGGTGCGGTGCGCCGAGCCACCAATCCAATCTCGCAGTGGTGGCCGTCAAAAGCCGAGCAAACCAGAGCCCCGCCGGGGCCCCGCCCCGCCGTCGAGATCAAAGCGACCATGAAGCGACATTCGCGGAGCGGCTAAATACAGGAACCCGGACGCATGGGTGCGACAGAGACGGAGTGAAGAAAGCACTGTTGGGGGCTAGCAGGGCGCCGCCAGACACCCCGCCAACGCTAGGTGCCTAGGCGCCCGCCAGGCCAAGGGCCTTATCAATGCTGTACTTGTTGTCGGTCCGACGGGCTAAGGTTCGCGGCGCGGCCCGCTCTGCATACGGGCTGCGCGGCCCTTTTGTTGACCCCGAGGCGAGGGAGGGGTGGGGGTGGAAGGGCCGGGGTGGCCGGGAAGGTCGTTTTGCCGGGCGCGTCCTGTTTGGCGTGCACACAACACACAGCGCCCTCGCACTGGGCAGGGCACCATGGGGCCCTTGGCCGTAGTTTGTGTGCTAGGCCCCTCAGCGCGACTATGTTGGTTGTGAGGAGCAGAAAGACAACCCCAGGGCCAAAAACAAGAAAAATACATGTTCCGCTGATTGGCTGTGAGTCGCGTCACTGCAAAAAGATAGAGCAGGAGAGAGCGCGGTGCGGCTTGGGCCGAGGGGTGCGACCCCAATGCAGCGTGCAGCGTGGAGAGTCGGAGTCCGGGCTGGTTCCGCACAGCGCTTCGATGCTCTGTCTCTCTCACACCTATGCGGGACACTCCGTGAGTGCGAGAGAGACAGAGCGACTATAAGGACGTTCACTGCGCTGGCTCGCCTCGCCACCCCAATCAACCCCCGACCCCGTGAAAGCTTTCAGCGAGTCAACAAAGCGAAACCAAGCGAAGCGCACCGTGCCGTGGTCCGCAGTCGGATGCACGGATCCTAATGGCAACCAGCTCGAGCGGCGCGGGCCACGGTATCAGCAGCCCGACTCCGAAGAGTCGTCTCGTCGCTCTGTCTCTGTCGCACTCATGGGGCGCTCTGCAGGGGTGTGAGAGAGACAGCGCGACGCGATGAAACTACCCTTCTGAATCGCTCGGCTTCAAGCAATAACAACTCCTGCAGAGGGAGCGTATATAAAGAAGTGGTTCTGTCTAGTCGAGTTTTAGAAAAGGATTTTATTCGGGAGCGCTTGCGTGAAAGAAGCGAGAGAGAGTCACGCTTTCGCCAACCGGCGAGGCAGCCGCCTGTTGGAAGGCAACCCACTCGGCTCCGAGGCCTTAAGGTGAAGGTGTCCGATGGGTTGCCTAGGCTGGCAGGCGCTGAGCGCTCTCAAATTCGAACTTGAACTTGAGAGGCTAGACCGGCTGTTTCCATGGACGAAAAGAGTTTCGCGCAGTGTGACGACCCCCAGGCCGGGGCAAGCTATTTTATTTAACGGAATTGAAACCAGCGAAATTAATGTTGAAACGGGTGATGTCGGCGGCACCGCTACACTGTACGCGGCCCTACGCGCCACCGCCGCGCCCCTGTCTCCCAGCCCTGCAGCGGGCCGATTCCGAACGGTGCTTTCGTCACTTCGTCTCTCTCGCATTCACGGGGCTCTGGTGTGGGTGCGACGAAAGCAATGTTCCGAATCAGCCCCGCCGGGCGCCCGGCGCCCCGAACTTTAAATTGAGATTAATCTCGTGCCAGCGTACAGGTGTGTCCCCCCCCCTCCCCGCCTCCCCCAGACTACTTTTCGCGCGCCAGCGGCGCCCTTGGGTCGATTCCCCCGCCAGAGATAAGAGGCTTGCGGCGGCTCGGCTGTCCGGAACAGGTTAGCCAAAGTGCGAAAATCAATTATTGTTATTATTACCGAGAAGGGGGAGGGGGGGGGCGGCGACGCGCGAAGAGACGCGGCCATCCTCATCCTGCGAGTCGTGTGGTGACGCCAACGAGTGCCCAGACGAGCCATTACTGGCTTGGGCGGAGGAGGAGGAGGAGGAGGGGGGACACAGAGTGATAACTAATCGATTGCCACGCGACTTTGACGAGCCCGCCGGACAGTTTCAGCCGTACCCGCACTTTATTTGCTTTTGTTTCATTCCCCCTGCCTCATCGGCGGCCTGCAGTTGGGCTGATTCAGGGGCGAGAGAGGGGGGGGGCGGCGGCATAAGCGCGGTTCGGGCGGGTTGGCCCGGTCGGCACTGTGACTGCTGCTCTGCCCGTCATTATCGCTCCACCACACTGTTCGTTCGAGTGCGAAAGCGGGCGGCGACGCGGCGGGGGTGTCAATGGGTCCCCGGCGGCGGTCTCCCCGCGCGCTTCTGCTTCTGCTTTGAGCCGCTCTTTGTTGTTGTTTGGTGGCGATACGCCGCGACGCCGTGTGCAGTGATTGGCGCGTCTCGAATCCGCCGCTTCGAATCCTCGCCAGACTAGCCTTTATCCGTGCCTCAGTGAGTGGATTCGTGCCCGGGTCTCATGTTCGGCGATGTTCGGCCGGCAGGTGAGTCGTCGTCACGGGAACTTTCCTCTTTCACCCTTTCATCCCCAAAAGTGAACCCGCCTCGGCGCTCCGCTCTCCGTCTCGCTTCGCTTGCGTGTCGGTCCCGCGTCCATTTCAAGAAGCACAGCAGCCGCATCTTGCCCAACTTTACTGCCTGTCGCGGACTTGCAGACTGACCCCAGTAACAAGAGCCACAGAATGAGTCACGTGAGTCGCGGTCCTCCCCCGTTGACGGCGGCAACCTACTGCTTTGGCTGCTGCTGGCCCGCCCTGACACGCCACTGCAAGGCCACGGCTGCCGACTCTGCCATATGGGCATGGGCTGCTGGAGTACCGATTGGCGTATAATCGCGCGCGTGTGTATGCATATCTGTGTGTGCGTGAGAGAGAGAAATAGAGTCTAGTGTACTTTTCTTATCAGCTGACGACGGGCAATCACAACAAATGGCTCTCCTCTCTCTCCCTCGGTCTCTCTCGCAAATCCCTCTCCGGACCGGCTCACACGAGCACCATTTTGGTAAGTACGCCGACGTCCATGTCGGTGTCGGCGTCGTAAAAAGGAAACACGAGGCTTCACCTGTAGCTCTTACCGCGACACGCCACGCCGCCTCCACCCAAGCCGACCCGGTGCTCGGCTGCCATGCAAACAGTGTAGTGCCCGCGGCCGCTACGCCGCCACGCTCCCTTCGTCGAGAAGCAGCAGCCGCCTCATTGCGAGCGATCGCTTTTTCGTCGCCCTGTCTCTGTCGCACTCACGGGGCGTCCCGAAGAGGTGCGAGAGAGACAGAGCGACGGACCGGTCCTTCGTATCGCTCGGCAGGGTTCACCGCGTTTTTTCGTCTGTTTGGCAAAGCTCGCGGCCGAGGGATCGCATCGCGGCATCGCGGCACCAAAGTCCATGCTAATGCATTCGGCGCCGTCACTACAATGCTGGCGCATGCTGGCCTCCCCGAAGCGAGACCGCCGACACGGCCGGGCCGTCGGGCGCGTGCAGCGAGGGGGCGTGGCTTCACGAGGAGGGCCTCGACGTGGTGGTGGCGGGGCGGGGCGCTGCGGGGGAAGTTCGCTGCGCCGCCGGCCGGCCCAGCGAGTTATCAGTTTAGTCCCTGCGGCCCTGCGGCCCTGCGCTACGACAGGAGCAGGCGGAGCAGGCCGAGGCCGCGGAGAGACGCAGCGTGCCTAGTCAGTCAGTCAGTGAGTCAGTGAGCGCGCGTCGAGCGGCCCTGCCAGCCTGCCCGCCTCACCGCCGCCGGGCTCAGCCGGGCTAGAGGCTAGAGGCCTAGCGCGCGAAGGACGCGGCGACGCGGCACGCCGAGCGGCACGCCAAGCGAGCGCGGACGCGGACCCGACCCGCAGTGCCCGTCCCGCGTCGAGCCGCGAGTCGAGCCGCGCGCACATGTGTTTACGCAGTGCTATTTGGGCCGACGCGAAGGTCCGCGACGCCGACGGCACGCCGACGGCACAGCTGGCAGCGTAGCGCAGCGCAGTGCCATCCGCGAGGTCCGCGACGTACGCCCTCGTCCTCGACCGCGCGCGCCGCAGTCCGCACCACGACGGCGGTGGCGGTTCCGATCGCGCCGTCGTCAAGGACGTCGTAGAGGACGCCGTCCGGACCGGATTCCGCCACTAGTCCGCGCGGCCGTGTCCAGGGCGTGTCGCCGCGGAGGCGCGAACGCGCGAAGTGAGTGGGGGACCGGGAGGGCGCCACGCCGCCCTGCCGCCACGCCGAGTCCGAACACTGCCGGCAGCAACAGCAGCACAGCACTACTTGTTGCTCGCGGGGACGCGTGCCCGTGCCGGCCGCGGGGACGCGCGCTGGCCACTCCGTGTCGCCGACGCCTCGCTGATGCCGCCCTGACGCTCTATTTGTGCGGACCAGGTGGAGCCCGGCCTGCCAGCGTGCCTGCACTGGTGATGGTGATGGCGGTGGTGGTGGGGTAGTTTCTCTCTCTCGGACGCCGCGGGCCGCGCGCTGGACTGCAAGATGAGTCTCGCCGTCGTGGAGGTATCGGCGAGCGGGCCCGAAGAGGAGACCGCGAACCTCGTAAGCCGGACTAAGCTGTTTGCTTGGCGCTTCGCAAGCGGCATGTCCTGGGGGTCCTGGAGACACTCTCCGTGCTGTACCGCCTGTGCTTCTCTTGCCAGCTGGGGGCAGCCGCCGCCGGTTCGCATGCCTGGCGGTGGCGGCGGAAGTGGACCCTGAGGCCTGAGCTCTCTCTCTCTCTCTCTCTCTCTCTCTCTCTCTCTCTCTCTCTCTCTCTCTCTCTCTCTCTCTCTCTCTCTCATGGTGTCGCGGCGTGTCGCGGCGACCACCCTCCCCTCCCCGGATGTGTCTCTTCCCGCCTGTCTTGTGCATCCCACCGCCTCGCCGCCTCGCTGGAGTGGTCTGCACACTTCCGAGGAGTCACTTCGTCGTCCTGTCTCTGTCGCTCCCACAGGGCGCCCCATCGGGGAGCGAGGGCGACAGAGCGACGCAACGCCTCTTGAGAATGGCTCGGTTGGGTCCTCGCTGACGCCGCGCTTCGCCACGCCGTGGCACTGCCGCGATCCACGCCGTCCGCTTGCCGCTCGGCCCGAGGCTGTAGACTGGGTCGTTTTCGTCGCTCTGCCTCTCTCGCACTCACACGGGACGCGCCATGAGTGCGAGAGCGACAAGAACGACTCTCGGAATCAGCCTGCAGGGCAGAACGAACCCGGCTGCCAGCGTCGCTCACAATTGACCGCTGAACTCGACGCCGATGACGATGGCGATTTAATCTTGCAGGCTTGCAGGCGACCGTGCTGCAGCCTCCTCCGCCAACTAGCTCAGCTTGTCGCCAAACTCCAGCCGGGCGGCAAGGCCCCGCCGCCGGCGACCGTGTCTTGAACGGCTGCTTTGCAAGGCCTCGCTGGCTGGGGCTCTGGTCCACGGAGGGAGTGCTGTGTAGCTTGCGCCGCTATTGGATCACAATTCAATTAGTGCAGGGGAATGGGAGGGGGCATCTCGCCAGCGCGCAAGGAAGGCGCCTCGGCGACCAGCAAGCTGATTCCCAAAGTCATGGGGCGGTCGGCAAGTGTGCGAGAGAGACAGTGACGACGCTCCGCGCAGACTCACGCATTGCGCATAAAGAGGTCAATGTTGGGTGATCGCTTAGCGATGGCGCTATCCATCACATCACGCACGTCTTCGGTAGTATAGCGGCTTTCGCCAATACCCCTGTCTCTCTCTCTCTTTTCTCTCTCCCTCTCTCTCTGAAGAACGCTCACCCCGCGGACCTCTCCTGGATGCGTCCGCATCAGCTTATATATCCCGCCTGACGTCAAGGGAACCGCCCGCGAGAGCTAATTATAAACCCGCGATGTCGGCCTTTTGGAGGCCGCTTTCTGGCGCGGCCGGCGATCACGCTGCTCTAATTGGCAAACCCCAGGCCTCCGGGGCGTTGTCGGGGAGCAGCGTGCAGCTGAAGCGGTGTGCGGGCGTCGTTTCTGGTCGGGGACGCACGGCGGGCGACGCTAGCGACGCGCACGCCGCCTGGCGGCTGCGCTCCGCACTAACGGGACTGCCGGGCTAAGGCTACAGCCCGCCAGGCCAGGGCGGGGCTGAGGGGCAGGGCTGAGGGGCAGGGCCAGCCCTGGGCTCGCCGTGACCCTAGCCAAGTAATGGAGAGGCGTCCGACTTTAGGGCCTGGTGCCTGATGCCGTGCCGCTCCAGTAATGCACGGCTTTTGGCGCGTCCCGACCAGAGTCCTGGCGAGCTGCCCAACGGGCTGCCAGCTCGCCAGGCTGCCGGACCGGTGCAGGCGAACTGCATGGCTTGGATCACTTTGAATGAAAAGTTGTGGACTCGCGTACAGCACTCTGTCTCTCTCGCACCCCTGCGGGGCGTGCCATGAGTACGAGAAAGGAAGAGCGTTGACCGGCGTCTTGCTTCCAGATGACGCGGTACAAGCACGCCGAGCTGGAGGACGACGCCAGCAGCGTGGGGTCCGTGCAGCTGGGCGAGGGTGTCTCCAGCACCACCACGCACATCCGGTACCACCCGGTGAGTCGGCGGCACGACTTGAGCCCTTCAACCCCAGCCAGCGTGACTCTGACTCTGCTTGTGTTCTGTTCCCGCGCAGGGCACCCCGATCTGCCCGCCGCAGTGGACGACGTACTGGAAGTCGCGCAGTCGCCTCGAGAAAAGCCTCTTCTGCCTGCTGGTCGGCTTCTTGCTGCTCTTGGTCATTGCCCTGTTGCTGCTGGCGACACATCCCGGGTGTCAACGTCAGAGTGAGTACGCGGCGTCAATGGGACTAGCCGGCAGATTCCAGTGTGCAAGTTCAAGGAGACGCTGTCCCTCTGGTTGCAGGCGCCGCGACGCCCTGCCTGACGCCCGTGTGCGTGCAGGCGTCCGCCAGCATGCTCCGCGCCATGGACGCGACCGTCGACCCCTGCCAGGACTTCTACGGCTACGCGTGCGGCGGCTGGGTGGCCGCCAACCCCATCCCGGACGGCAAGTCCATGTGGGGCACCTTCACCAAGCTGGAGCAGCAGAACCAACAGATCCTCAAGACGGCGCTCGGTGAGTGTGGGTTCGAGTCCCGGTGACGACTCGAAGAAAGCGTTGTTTTCGCGAGCCAGCGCAGCAGACGAGCGTGGTGGCTTGGCTGCCTGCCCGCGGGCGCTGGCCGGTCTGGTCTGTAGAGCGGCCGCGCGTCGCGTTGTGTTGCAGAGCGGCCGTACGACGAGCTCAAGAGCGAGTCCGAGAAGAAGGCCAAGCGGTACTACGCGTCGTGCGTGGACCTGAACGAGACCATGGAGGCGCTCGGCGGCAAGCCCATGCTGGCCCTGCTAGAGACGGTGGGCGGCTGGAACGTGACCACGGCCAACTGGTCGGACAGTGCCACCAACTGGAGCCTGCAGTCCACGCTGCACTCGCTGCACAACGGGCTCAACATGGGCGGGCTGTTCACCTGGTCCATCGGCGAGGACGACCGCAACTCGTCCAGGAACATCATCCAGGTCGGCCTTCGAATCCCACCCACTCTTGACTTTTACATTTGTTTGAGGTTAGTGATTTACTGACGTGCGATGCAGATCGACCAGGGCGGGCTGACCCTGCCCACGCGCGACAACTACCTCAACAAGACGGAGAACGAGAAGGTGCTGGCCGCCTACCTGGAGTACATGACGAAGATCGGGACGCTGCTGGGCGGCGAGGAGGCGAGCACGCGCAAGCAGATGCAGGACGTCGTGGACTTCGAGACTCGCCTCGCCAACATCACGGAGCCGCCGGAGTTCCGGCGCGACGAGGAGAAGCTCTACAACCTCATGTCGCTGGCCGAGATGAACGAGAAGGCGCCCTTCGTGAGTACAACGTCTCGGGTTCGACTCCCGCCCGGGCCGACGACTTTTTTCAGCGCTAATTAGCGTTGCTTTGGTGCAGATCAACTGGGTGGAGTACTTCGGCAACGCGATGAAGCTGGTCGGCGGGAAGGTGTCCGCCAAGACCTCGGTCGTGGTGTACGCCCCGCAGTACCTGCAGAAGCTGACGGCCCTGCTGAAGGAGCTCACCAACACGATGGAGGGCAAGACGTGAGTACGGTGCCGAGGGAACACGAGGGGCGTGTTTAGAGTGCCCCGACTGACGCGTTTGGTCCGTTTGGTTCTGGCCGCAGGGTGCTCAACAACTACCTGATGTGGCAGACGGTGCGCAGCCTCACGGTGGCGCTGTCCAAGGCCTTCCGCGACGCGTACCGCGGCCTCCGCAAGGCGCTCATCGGCTCCGAGGGCGGCGAGGAGCCGTGGAGGTTCTGCGTCACGGACACCAACAACGTGGTGGGCTTTGCCACCGGCGCCATGTTCGTGCGCGAGGTGTACCAGCCCGACATCCGCCCTGGGGTGCGTTCTTGGCAAGGTTCTTGGCGGGGTGTCCCTGCGATGTCTGTGCAGTGGATGTGGAAGTTCATGGACCGCCTCTCCGTGTTGCAGGCCGAGGAGATGGTGGACATGGTGCGCAACGCCTTCAAGCGGAACCTGGACCGCCTGGACTGGATGGACGACGAGACCAGGCAGGCCGCCATGCAGAAGGCCGACGCCATCTCCAAGATGATCGGTAAGGAAGGACCGGTGCGAAGTACCAGTCCACTGTTAATTCAGAAATATAAAACTTCTGCCGGTTTTGCTAGACCTTGAGTCTATGTCATTCTGTCTGCTTTCGATAGGCTACCCGGACTACATCCTCAACCCAGTCGAGCTGGATAAGAAGTACCAGGACCTCAATTTCAACGAAGACGAGTACTTCAACAACAACGTGGAACTCAGTCGGTACAACCTCAAGACCAACTTGAAGAAGCTGGACGAGCCGGTCAACAAAACCAGGTGCGTTTCCTACGACCCTCTGAGGGTTCTTTCTGGTCCTTTTCGATTCACTCGAGATAGAATAAATCCTTTTGCAGGTGGAGCATGACCCCTCCGACGGTGAATGCCTTCTACACGCCCACCAAGAACCAGATCGCCATCCCGTACGGCATCCTGCAGCCGCCCTTCTACGACACGCAGACCCAGCACGCCCTCAACTACGGCGCCATGGGGGTCATCATGGGCCACGAGCTGACGCACGCCTTCGACGACCAGGGTGGGCAAACCGACCATCTCTGTCAAGACTTTAAGTTTGGTTTGCTAAAAAATATTCATGTTTTCGTTCGGAACTGTTTTCAGGCCGCGAGTACGACGCGGGTGGAAACATGCACAAGTGGTGGAACAACCAGACGATCGAGCGCTTCAAGAACCGGACCGCCTGCCTCGTGAACCAGTACTCGCAGTTCAACGTGAGCAGGAAGAACGTCAACGGCAACCTCACTCTCGGTGAGCGCCACACGGCCACGCGCGACTATTCGCAGCGTTCCAACCTTTTTTTGGTGGCGTGTTTCTAATCCCACGCCCCCGCGTTCCAGGCGAGAACATCGCGGACAACGGCGGACTGAAGGCCGCCTACCACGCCTACCTGACCTGGGCCGGCGAGAACCCCAAAGAGCCGCCCCTGCCCGGGCTCAACCTCTCCCAGAAGCAGCTGTTCTTCGTCGCCTTCGCACAGGTAACGCCCCACGGCCACGCCACTGCGCGCGTCAGCCAACCGCTCCGAAACAAAAATACAACAACAAAAACAATTTGTTTGCTCCAGGTGTGGTGCTCGGCGAGCACGCAGGAGGCGGCCAAGCTGCAGCTGGAGAAGGACCCGCACGCCCCGTCCATGCACCGCGTCCTGGGGCCGCTGTCCAACATGGACGAGTTCTCCCGCGTGTTCCAGTGCCCGCTGGGCTCCAAGATGAACCCCGTGCACAAGTGCGAGGTGTGGTAGGCCCCGCCCTGGCGGTGGCCGTGGTGGCGTCGAATAGAACAGAGTGGTGTTCGCTCTATTTCGGCCGGGACGCTGAGGCTGTGATTGGCGGCGAGGCGCGAGGATGGCGTAGTGCCGTTGTGGCTGTTCATGTCGACTGTGGTGGCGTTATTGAACTTGATGAATATATGGATCAATCTCTAGTCATTTCCTTTCCCTCGCTTCATTGGCCGGGGCCGCGGGAAGCAGCGCGAAGGGCTGGACGGCGAGACTGCTTGGTGCTCCATGTGTTTGCCGCTCGTGTCCATCTTGCCCTTGGAGGCGCGCTGTGCATGTGTTTGTCGTGCCCGTTCCGGAGAGGCACGAATATCGGATGGGTATTTTTTAGATTTACGAAACTATCATATCTATCGAAGTTTTGTGTGATATACTTGATGTATGCTTAATGTACAAACTAATTATAGAGTGCTGCTGCATTGATTATTCAATTGGTTTCTTGTGACGAGAATACTAGAAAAGAAACGCCTTGTTTTTAGATTCTTTCCTACGCCGGTGATCTCGTTACATGCTGTTGTTGGTGATCGGCAGCTGATGTCACGGATATTTATATCTTGTAGAACCTAAGGATGTCGTATTGTTTTGTATTTAATTCTTTTGTTTCTTTATGGGAGGCAGTCAGAGGTAATTACGACCAGTCCCTCGTAAATACCTAGTTTGCGTTTAGAGACGCGCTGCACGCCAAAAAAAGATTGCCTTTTACCGCCAAAGTGCCAATCAAGGGGGAAACGACTGAGAAATTTTGTGTACATTGGATAGGGATAACCCCGGATAACCCGCGGATTACCTCCGGATTACATCGAAAAATTTCCAGGATTACCATTGGATTGCGCCGGATTACCCCGGATTACCTCAGAATTTCCACGGATTACCCCGGATTACATCAGAATTTCCCCGGATTACTTCGAAATTTCAGGTTATCCGGATAGCGGATAACCAATTTGCTGTACATCGGATAACTGAAGTCGTTTCCCCCTCGGTGCCAATAGTATTATCGAACCTATGTGAATAAATCAATTAGTCTTATCCTTTGTGTGCAAAATTATGAGAGATTTTTTGCGTTCCCGCGCTTTAATCGTGTTCTGCTTGTAGCCATAATTTTTTGCGGACTGTGATTTGACTTAAAAAGACGATTGCATGTATGTGGTGGAATTGGACAGACGTGTCTAGTTAGGTGTCTTTGAACAAAACATTGTTAATGTTAATGGAAAGCTTTTTTATTTTTTTATCATTTTCCTCTTGAATATTATCTTGAGACAGATTACCGAATTACTTAGTGTCCTTCGCCACACTACATCCTCATATGTGTTGGGGCCATGCCTATGCCGGTGTCTAGCTGACCCAGCAGCCCCAGTTTTCTCTGAGGGACCAGGAACCCACTTAGGGAGGGAGCGTCCGAAAATTGTATTTTCCATTTGTATTTTTACTCCCCATTTTTTCCGACATGGTTTGAGGGTATGAGGCCCATCGTGATGAGGCCGCGGATGCCGGAGCGGCAACCAGATCGGTCGTTACGAGCTTCACGTGATGAAGGTGAGAACTATTTTGGTTTTGCATCACGAAAGGGAATTAAAACCGCATTCTGTGCTATGTATTTTATCTGTAAGTGCCTTGTTTGAAGATATCGTTTATGTATTACTTCTTGTCTTAAATCGTCCCTCGTTATTTTTGTATCAACATAATCATCACGAACCTTGATGATTATGTACAATTTTGCTACTTGAGTTAAGATTAAATTATTGTTCCTCCGGCAGACAAACCCACTCCCTCACCCTGGCTCTCTGACCCTCTTTGGAGAAGTCCAGGGACTGGAGAGGGTCTTGGCGGAGTCTCATAACGTAGTTCCTTGATGCCAAAGACCCTCTTTGTTGTACTCGGTTTGTTGCTGTATCAATTAAACGAATCTCATAGATAGTGGTTTCAATTAATGCCGTCCCTCCTCTGCAACACGGGCCGTACACTACACCGAGTCCTGGCTCGGGCGAACTGTGTGGATTGTGCGCAGATCTCGCGACCACTGCAGCCGCAACTGCGCCGAAATAATAGGCATTGAGCCGGGGCCTGGCTGGCTGGCTGGGCTGGATGGCTTGGCTGTGGTGGCTCGGCCCGCTGACGCTGGCTCGTTCCGAACACGGCGCTATCCGCCGCTCTGTCTCCCTCGCTCCCACGAGTGCGGAGGGAGGGAGAGCGCCTCAAGCACGGTTCGGAACGAGCCTGTCGGGCCATGGCAGGGCCACCCTTCTGGCACTGGGTGGTCGGGGTCCTGCGGTAACAATGTGTTGCCGACAATGGCCGCCCTCGCCAGCCTCGCCAGTCCGCGCCGTGCCCAGCCGTGCCTCGCTGCTTCGCTCCGAACCGCCAGAGGCAGCGGCAGCGGCTGCCCGTGGCGAGGCGAGCGGCGGCGAGCTGACCTGGCGGTGCCTGGCGGCTGGAGCACCGAGCAGGCCCTCGAGTGCACGCGGCTGGCGGCGGGGCTGCGTGCGGGGCCGCGGGGGCGCCGCAGGGGCCTAGCACCGCCACATGGAGGGGAGCCAAAACCACGAGCAGTGTGGGGGCAAGTGCAACGAGTGTTGGATGCAGTTCGGGCTATGCGGGCGACCAACACCACACACACACTCACGACGACGCGCGTACATATGCACATGTCGGCAGCAAACCAGAAATAGTACATGGCACTGTCCTCCACTCAGGCGCGCGCGCGACAGCGTGCAAGGCAGCCGTGCACGTGGTGTTGCCTACCCTCTGCCTTGCAGGCGCTCGGCCCTCGCGCTGCGGTGCACTGCGGTGCTGCCTGACGCTCCGCTCCGCTCTTCTCGACAGATAACAGCACCGGCCAGGTCGCCGACATGAGCAAGGACGCGGAGCCTCCCTCCCAGGCGCCGGCCAGGAGCGCCAGCCGCATCCCCCTGCCGACCGGCGACCATGGCTCCAAGAGCGTGAGTGCGCTTCCAGGACAACAAGTCCCCCATGTCGATCCACATTGCCTTGCAGTGCCCTGCATGGCCCCGTCGTCGGGCCTTAAACAGGGAGATGCCTTCCCGCAGGCGACGCGACTCGCGGCCCTGGTCGCCGGTCCCGGCCCTCCTGCGGCGACGGCCTCGGCCGGCGGGGCGGCCCCCCTCCCCCCTCCGGTGACCACCCCCGGGGGGCTCTCCGTGCTGGCCGAGGGAGGCTCCAGCCTGGCCTCGCCGGCCGCGTCGCCGGCCGCCACGCCCTGCAGCACGCAGAGCGAGGCGATGATCGCCGCGCCCGTGGACGTCCGCCCCGCCGGCGACAACGAGGCCATGGGGGTCGCGGAGAGGGAGCGCGCCGCGCCGCCGCAGCGCCAGCAAGGTCTCAAAGCAACAACAGTAAAATATTTTTAACTTTTAAAAAAATATCCATATTTTACCCACAATTTTTTCAATTGTAGCCCAATTTTTCTCTCTTCCAACATTTCCTGCACCTCTTTTCCTATCCGAACGTAACGGAGCTTGTGTCGAGGTGAATTATTACGCGATTTCACTGAAGGATAAGCCTGGGCGGTGCAGGTGACGCGACCCGGAACCCCTCCGGAGAAGCTGTGCCCGAAACGGCCTTGGTGCCCCCCACCGCCACCCCAGCCGCCCCAGCCGCAGCGCTGCCACCCCAAGTGCCCCCCGCCCCAGCCACCGCCACGCCGGCCCTCGCCGCCCCGCACGCCCCGCACGCCCTTCTCGTCCAGGTAAAGAGCAGGTTGGGAAGTCGCGGGAAACTTTTCTGCTCCTCCATCATCCGTGAGAGGTCGCTTTTTTCTTTCTTTTCATACGGAAGCAAAAAGTGACGAGTTTGTGTTTCGGCAGGCGGTTTGCAGCCGCAGCCAGCTCGCCGCGGCCACCTCGGGTGAACGCCTCGCCACGGTAAGGCGGGAGGGGGCCGAGGGGGGGGGGGGAGGAGAGGAGATGCGGGTCGAGGCAGTCCGCCTCGGTTCCACCGCCCTCGTCGCCAATCCCTGGAGGCACCGAAACGAGTTGATGTACCGGTGCCGGCGCTTCGTTCCCGTTCCGCTTTGTGGGCCGTTTGCCGCCCGTTTGCCGTTTGCCCGCTGCCGTTCTATTTCAGTGCCGGCCGGTCCGGTCGGTGAGAGACTGGCATGTGCCAAGCGCGCCGCTCACCGCTCTGCTTCATCCCCACCCTGGTCCGTAGCGCACGTACAGCACTCTGCAGCGACAGGGCTTGGCGTGCAACTTGAAAATGCGGCGGCGCGGTGATTTGTGAGTGACCTCTGACCCCGCCCCGAGCCTTACCCTGCCTGCTCTGTGGGCCAGACAATGGCCGCAAACACTCGGAGTAAGAAGCAGACGGGCCGGCTGAAACACTGGGCTTGTCCCCGGACCGCCCCGCCGACCGAACAGAGCGCCTCAACTCAGCCACTACACTGCGGACTCATCCCGAGAGTCGTCTTCGTCGCTCTGTCTCTCTCGCACCTATGCACTCGCCCCAAGAGAGCGAGGGAGACGGGCGGTCGTTCTGCTGCGTTCCTTTTGTCATGGAAACTCTCGGCCCGCGGCGCCGCGAATAGAGCGAGGTCACCGGGCCGTCCTTCGTCCTTTGTCCGCGGAGACGCTCTTCTTCGCGTCCTCAAACCTGCCAGCAGCGCGGCCCTGCGGCTCAACAGTCTCAATCCTTGCAGCAGAAACCGCCTTCGGAGCACGCCGCCGGGGAGGCGATCCTGGGCCCGCAACGCGCCTCCACGCCCCGCGCCGCGGCCATCACCAACTTCGCCGCCAGCGTCTCGGACGTGTTCCTGAGCACCTCCACCAGCCTGGACCAGGGCCTCACGCCCGCGCTCGCATCGGGCCCCGACGACGCCAAGGTGATGCGATATTCGCCACCTTTTTAGGTTGATGGGTACGGGCACGCCGCGAGGCCGCGAGGCAGCACTTAGCGGGAGGGGCCTTGATGGGGTTGGCGGAGTGGCGCGGCGCGGCGCGGCCCTAGCCGGGTCGCTCTACCAACCCGCCTGCCTCTTTGCCTGCGCGCGGCCAACGTGCACTCTATGAAGAGGCGCGGCACTCGACTACATGTTGGCTCTGGTTACGGTGGCGTGCCCATTAGGCGCCGAACATTCCCTCGGTGATCGTGACGGCCGCCACGCCCGTGCTGGGCTCGCCGCCGGACACGGGGGACGTTGTTGCGACGCCACCGCCTCCGCCCGCCGCCGCCCCCTCCGGAGCCACTGCCCCCGAACCGGGAGCCCCGCCGCCGCCCCCACCCACGCCGGCGCAGGACAGCCCCCAAACCACGCCCGACCGGAAGATCTCACCAGTCGCGTCCACCGCGGCGAAGAAGGCCCCCGGCGGGGCGAGCAAGACGACGCTCAAGGCGGTGAGTAATACTTGGTCGGATGAAATTCGGAAAGCGAACTCGGGAATTCCGACCGTTTCGACCCCCAGTTGGCAATCGGTTCCGCTGCCCGTTCCAGGGGGTTGCCGCCAAGCCACCCCTGCGCAGGCCACTCGTGTCCAGCTCGCGCCACGGCGGCTCCACGGGGCAGCTCGGCGTCGTGGCCAAGGACGGCAGCAGCGTGACCACGCTCATGGCGCCGGGGCGAGGCGCGCAGCGGCCGCCATCCGCCAAGAGCGCGCGCAGCGCCACCACCAACGCCACCGTCACCGACGCCGCCAAGGCCGCCGCCGTGTCCGTCAGGGGCAACGCAGCGGTGCAGAGAGCCGCCGCCAAGAGCGCCTCCGCCACGGTCAACCGCAAGGTGTCCGTCACCACGGTACGACAGAGGCTGGTTCAATCAGGACTACCGGCACACCAGCGCCGCCTTGCGGTATGATTACGAACTGTGGTTCGTCGCTCTGCCTCGGAGTGCCCCTCGTGAGTGCGAGCGAGAGCGACGGAACCGCAACGCTGCTGACGTAATGCGTGTTGCCGCGCAGAAGGCCGAGCCCGTCACCCCCAAGCTGGAGCCAACAACCCCGCGGCCCAAATCGACGCACGGCCCCAGCCCCGGCTCCGCGCGCGCCAAGCTGTCGAGGGAGGGGACCGCTCTCAGCGCCAGTGAGGGTGCGTTTTAGGCGCGAGTAGGTCGAGGCCGGAAAGGTCTTGGACTCCAACGAGGCCCTGTTGCAGGCGGGGCGGCTGCAGCGGGCAAGGCCGACGGGCACCTCACCCTGCAGGCCAAGAAGACTGCTGCCGCCGCGCCGCGCCACCCCACCGGCGTGAAAGACAAGCCCCTCGCCAGCGGGGCGGGGGAGAACGTCGCCGTCGTCAAGGCCGAAGGTGGCGGCAGCGTTTGGCTCTGTTCGGACAGCTAACCACCGCGAGAGAAACCACGATCGTCTCTTGTCTCAGCAGGACCGGCCAGCGCGTTGGAGGAGCATGAAGGGCACCTCAAGGCCATGTTGGCGCCGTTCTTGGTGCTGGTGGCCGAACTGGCTTCCCGACACAGCCTGCTGCTGGAGGCGCACAAGGGCACGGACGTGTACAACGCGGAGGCCCCGTTCGCCGCCACACTGTCGCACCGCCAAGCCGAGGCGCTACAGGTAATGTCCCCAGTCGCACTTGGTGTGAGTGTGGGAGTGACGCGCCGACACGCATGCCCCGCACAGGCCGTGACGCGGCACAGCGACCAGGCCGCCAACATCATGCGCACCACCGTGGAGGAGAACGCCCTCATGCGCGGTCTGCTGGAGAAGGAGAACTCGGACCTCATTCAGAAGCTGGAGGAGTGCACCAAGGACCTGGAGCGAGAGCGCGCCGCCGCCGCCAAGCTCAAGAATAGCAAGCTGGCGATGGACAGCTCCATCAAGCAGATGCGCACCAAGATCAAGGATGTGGAGGCCACGCTGACGGCCAAGGTGGCGGAGGACGACGCCAAGCTCAAGGAGCAGAGCGCCCTGGTGCACTCCCTCAACCAGAAGATGCGGTCGCGCAACGTGGTGCTGGAGCAGCGCGGGAAGGAGCTGGAGCAACGTGAGAAGGAGTTGCAGGCCGCGTTGACCAGGTACAACTCGCCGTGGACTTAACACCAAGCTTAAGACTCTTGGAACGGTAAGGTAACTCGAGCCGGTCTCTCCGCAGAATCGCCGAGCTGGAGTCCGGCGACGTTTCCAAACAACAGCTCAACAGCCGCCTTAGCAGCGTGACGCAGATGCTGCAGCTGGAGACAAAGAACAGGTCCACGTCGCATGGAAAAGAAGGCGGGATTAAAAGCAAAAACTAGCGACAAAAACAAGCAACCGGCTGCCTTTTCAGGGAGAAAGCCGAGCTGAAGCTGAAAGCCACGGCGGCCAAGCTGTCCCAGATTGGGATGGCCAGGGAGGCGGGCGACGACGCGGCCCCGCCGGCCAAGACAGACCTCCAGGCGGAGCTGGAGGCGGAGCTAGAGCAGCTGCGCGCCAACAGGGACGGACTCAAAGCGCAGCTCGAGCAGCTCAGAGAAGCGGTACGCCGCGCCAGCCTCCGGCCAAACGAACCTACCTACACTGCGGTCATTTTTTCGCGGTTCCTTTTTTGCTGTAGAGTTCGTCGGACATATCGGAGCTTCGCACCGAGCTGAAGTCGGTCATGGGGCAGCTGGAAGCGAGGTGAGCAGAGCGTGGCGCAAGGGGAGGTTTCTCTGCGGCTGCCTCATCTTTCTGACGGTGTTCGTGTTTCCAGGAGTCGTCAGCTGGAGAACAAGGACGCCGAGCTCAAGCACTACCTCGCTCTGCGGCCGGGAGAAACGACCCGAGAGGTACTCGTCGCGCACAAAAGACAACGAAAGTCAAAAAAAAATAAGGAAAGAAAAATGCGACTTTGGGTGGATTTGAACCCGCAGGAGATGGAGGCGATGAAGGAGATGTTCGCGGAGCTGGCGACGCACAACGAGCGCCTGGACCAGGAGCTGGGCCAGTGCCGGCAGGAGCTGGCGCGCCGCGACAAGATGATGGCGGACCAGGAGAACGTGCTGCGCGTCCGCGACAACCTCATCAGCGTGCTCCACAACAGGGAGGTGCGCGTCGAGGGGAGGGGCACGGGGCACAGTGGGCCAGAAGACCGGTGGAGGCGGCAAAAACTCTAGACGCGTTTTGAGCCCCAGAGTCGCTAAATGGGACTCGAACCGAACGTGTGACCCCACCAATGGATTGCTCTCCGAACGAGGAATCCATTGGTGGGGTCACACGTTCAGTTCGAGACCCATTGAGCGACTCTGGAGCTCAAAACGCGTCTAGAGTTTTGGCCGCCTCCACCGGTCTTCTGGCCCACTGTGCGGGTTCCTTGACCGCGAGTCTGCTCCAGGGCCAGGGCCTCCAGGGCCTGCAGTGGCCGCAGGAGGCGGCGGCCGGCCGCAAGCTGATCGACCTGCACGCCATCGTGGAGAGGAAGTCCGTGCGCATCAAGGCCTACGAGCAGCAGATCAAGCAGATGGAGAAGCAGCTCGAGTCCTCGCAGGTGCTGCGCACCACCATGGAGACCAGGATCGCCCAGCTCGAGCACATGGTCGCGGTGGCGGGGATGACCAAGCAGGCCCTCGGCAAGCCGCCGTGCAGGTGAGGGCGCACCACTGTCAAGGTGTAACTTCTCTGTGTTATAGAATGGAGCGCTACTGGCTGTGTCGTTGCAGGGTCAACGTGGCGTCGTGGTGACGAGACGACGCTCTGACAAACGTACGAAGCGTTTCAAAGCGGTCCTTGAAGTTCTGTTTTGCCGCGGATGGGCTGGTGGGATGAATAAAAAGGCCAAGGCGAGTTGCAGTTTATTTGTCTTCATTCAACTGTTTATTCATGACACCAACGATAAACAAGAAGTACATGATATAATAAACCTCGTTTACAGAAAACTCTCAATGAAATTGAAGGACATTATAACATAGCTACTAGCGGTATCCTAATTAAGCGATACCAACAAAAGAAAAAACTGAAAAAATCGGGTTATGATATATACGCCACCGTCAACGCGCACAATAACTGTCTTGTCTTCTTTGCAACTTATCAACACTCGATCTCACTCTGGTCCCGTGTACTCACGACTAAACCACCTACCGTCTCGGTACCGATTCACAGACATTTCATGGGGTGATGTACATATTATAATATGTTGGATGGCATTACACAATTTTAAACGCCCCGTAAACTGGAAGGAATTTGATTGAGCGAACGTGCATCATTCCACTGTCCACGAACTTCAGCAACAAAGACGGCTCCCTCGGATGATATACGACTTCTTGTTGAATCCAGAAAATAATTTCAGTTTTACCACTCACTGTTCTGTTTCTTTCAGTAACGCAGTAGTAAAACATCACAAATTTGTTGCTATAGTTCTTTCGGCACAGACGATTCTAAGTTGCATTAACAACAAAAAGATCAAAGTCCATCAGACACCAAACTCGCGTCTTCAATAACGGCTCTGATCTCAACGATAAGTCACCTTAAAATAAACGCCATTCCAAAGTATGGCTAACAATAAATACTCTCAAGGGTATAATAAATAGAAAACTAGGAACAATAATAAAACTTCTAAAATTTAAAGTTAAATCTATTAAGTATGCACCATCCTCCAAGGCAGAAGGTTTGGCACAAACCTGTGGTTTATAAAGGAGGGCGTTCGGGAGAAACGAGAATTGCCCTTTCAGTTACGGAAGAAATTCCACAAATTAAGAAAAAGTAAGTTGCAAGATCTCTTTTGATGAAAGAACGCCCATCCTGTATCAGTTTGGCAACAGCTAGGAATGCATTTATTGGACCCTTTCATACATGAATGAATCAGGAATCATAAATGTATGAAATAATTGTAGCTTTAAACTTGAACTTTAAAATGAGAAATTCTCATGATTTTCTTCACTTGCGCTTTTTCTAAAACATGATTTGATAGAGCGCAGCAAGCATTACTGAAAAATTTAATGCGTAAACTCCCTTTTTGCTGGTACTGTGCAAATCCCCTCATACGGGTGTTGCACGATATCTTTTAACAATCACATTTGCCATCAATAAAGATCGACTGTCAACACATTAAACACTACGTGAAAACTTGCTTGGGAGGTCTTTAGTTTTTAAAAGTTAATAATAATATTGGACACAATGCCATGGACGAATTTGTCTCGCTGGTATCAATTGACCCCTTGGATGAACTTTATCTACGTTGCAAGCTCTTTTCTACCAATCACGCGCTTTCAGTCAATAAAGGCAATACTTTTCCAAATCTTTGGCCTACTAAATCACAAATAGTACATCTGCCTAAGCTTCCTACCAAAAATAAAACCGTGTACTAAGCGTCTGTGTTACGTGCATGCAATGCTACGCTGCACACGCCCGCATCCGCCACGTGGGCACCGATTACTACAACAAATCTGGGCGTCATTAACACACATTTAACCTACACAACAATTTTGCAGAGTTCATGATTGAAACTCCATTCTTTAAAGGCAGAAAAGGTGGCCGTACTTCAGGCTTGTTCCAAAATTCTTTGTCAATTAACATAGGTACTGAGAGACCCCGGTATGGGCTGGGCATAACCATCTATGTTTGACAACTTCCATAACGGCTAGTAGATGGTACTTACGCTACCTATATTTACATTGGACCAAGATATAACCATTATCCTACGTTTAAGTAAGTTACTAAAGTCAAAGTGAATGTTGACTGGGGAAAAATCGAGTACAAAGAATTATTCCGCTGGCAAAAGATGGGGCTCAGAAGTAGCACACCACAACTACTAGGAAAGTAAATAAGTATGAAGAGGGAATGCTTAGAAATTAATTCTATATTAATATCACAATATGAAAACAATTTAAAAATATCACCTCATTTCGTATTTCGTATCGTTCTCAATGAAAACTTCGTTCTGAGAGTGCATACGCCATGGAGAGATATCGCACAGCCCGGTGTTAAGTAGAATTATGATTGAGATGTTATTTCACCAAAAATTAAGGGTGACACAACTTTTACCTCCCTAAAGGAAAATTTCTGATTTCGTTTAGAAAAAGAATATAAAAACAGGAGAAGGATTACACACGCAAAATGTGTCCATCACTTCTAAGACAGTTAGGCCAACCAGTTAGGCCACTTCAGGTGGAAGCAGGTCGTCGTTACAGTGCGACGCTTCCCGGTCGAAAAGACATCTACGCGTAGAACTCATCTTTGGAGCCCAGGTCGTACTCCGCTTCTTCGTTGTTGTACATTTTAACGAGCTGAAACAAACGTGACAATATGTTAGAAAATCTGTTATTTTTTACATGGCGTTTTTGATACTTAAGGGAGGAACTGACGTTTTGGACATCTGTGGTGAGCGCTTCAGTCTCCTTCTCGTGCTTCTTCTTAAGCTTCTCCTTGTCCTTGCCCTGCTTCATTTGCGCCATCTTGCGCTCCTCCATGAACTTCTTGGTGTTGTTCTGCTTCTTCTCGCGGAGGCGCCGGTCCTTGTCACCCTTCGTCTTGAGGGTCTTGTCGTTGGCGACCTCCTTCATGGTCTCCACGGAGATCTTGGCCTGGCGGGTGTTCATTTCCTTCAAGTCTCTGTCGGAAAAACAAAGAAATTTTGTAAAAAACAAAGAAAATTGGCAACTTTTTTCGGTAAATGCGTTTTACCTCTCGTGCTTGGCTTCCAGGGCCTTGACCTGCGCAGCCTGGGTGGTGGTGAGCAGCGTCTTGAGGATCTCCTCCTGGTCCGCCACCTGCTGCCGCATGGCCCGCCACTCCGCCTTGCGGTGCCGCTCCACCATCTCGGACCACTGGGCCGTCTGCTCCTGCACCAGCTTCCGGATGACTGGGTCGGACATGCACTCCTCCTTGCTGCGGGCGAGAAGGGGGTGGGTTAGAGAGAGAAAAGGGGATGACTGGAGGCGCCGAGTGGTTCTGCCTCACCTCCTGCCCTTGGCCAGCTTCTCGATGGCGGCGCACTGGGCCTTCTGCACGGAGAGGCGCTCCTTGGCGTTCTTCTTGTGCAGCGCGTCCAGCTCCTTGTGCTGCTTCTTGGCCGTCTTCTGGAAGCCCTTCTCGTCGCGCAGCGTCTCCACCGTCAGGGCCTCCAGCTTCAGCTCCTCTGCGCACAATCGGTTTCCGGTTACCTCGCGTCAGGGCGCCGCACGGAACAGTGTACCTCCCATGGGTTTTCCATTTGACGTACGCCGTTTCGTCCGGTCGCCCGCTTCCCGCCCCACTTCCGGTCCTTACCCTCCTTCTTCTCCTCCGCCTTGCCCCCCGCCGCGGCGCCGCCTTTCTGGCCGGACTTGGAGCCCTTCTTGATGGCGCCCGAGCTGGGCACCAGGTCCTTGGTGTTGATGTCGGTGGCCTCGATGCCCATGGCCTCCATCTGCGCCGTGCGCTTCTCCTGCGCCGACAGGAAGGCCCGCGGGTCGGACAGCGCCGCCATGAAGTCTGCGAGGAAACGGACACATTGCATCACCCGGGAAAATTCGTGTTGCGTAGAGACCTTAACACGTCTAGGACTGTAGTGTTTACGAAAAGCGTGTACCTTCCATGCCGTCGGGCACGTAGATCTTGAGCTCCACGTTACAGAACAGCATGGGCAGGGACATGGGGAAGTTGGCCTCGGTGCGGAGGGAGATGTGGCGGTAGCCGGCCTGCAGCCCGTCGAGCGGCAAGATGCGCTGCCCCAGGAGCTTGCCCGTCTCGTCGAACACGCCGAAGCGCAGCACGGCCAGGTCGGGCAGCACCACCTGCACCGGGAAGAGCAAAGTTACGGGCTGGCGCCACCGGGACTCGAACCTCGTACAGCACGGGGCGCTACCTTTCTGAACAAGAAGGGCTCCTCGTTGTAGACGGGGTTGAGGCCGTTGGCGGGCACCATGCGCGTGCGGAACTCCTTGCGGATGGTGTCGGTGGGCAGCCCGTACATGTCCACCTCCACGTACGTGCCCACCTTCTTGTCCGACAGGAACTGGCCGGCGATCACCTGCACGGCGCACTGCGCCGCGATGACGCCGTCCACGGGGGACTCGGCGAAGGGGTCGAAGCTGCGGTCCGCGCGCCGCATGAAGTCCGGCTTGAGCAGGTAGCCGCAGTTGCCGTTGTACTCGAACTTGCCCTGGTTCAGCTGCATGGGCAGGTCCGACGTCTGGAAGTTGAGGGACACCATCTGGCAGCCCGCGTTCCAGAACACCTGCAAGCGGAAGGGACGTGGAGTCGCTGTAGGAACCACCGCCGCGCCGGGCTGCAGGGCTGCCTACCTGGGGCATGTAGTTGGAGGAGTCGGCGCGGGTGCCCCTCGGGTAGATGCGGCTCATCTGCCGCTTGTTGTAGTTGACGAACTCGATGGCCTGGCCCTTGAGATAGCCCAGGCCGGCTGTCTCCGCGAAGGACGACATGTTGTGATGGATGTTTTTCTCTGTAAACAAGAGGATAAATCACGGTTCACTCGGGCGTTGGAATACCGAAGGCCAGAGGGAAGGGGGGCTGCGCGCTGCGGCCTATCTTTACCCTCTGCCACGTCGAAGCCGGAGAACTTGACGGGCTGGGCGTAGTTTATCATGGAAGACAGCCAGGGGTGCACGTTGGTGGTGGAGCCAGTGTGCTGGACGGGGGGCGGGGCGTCCGGGGCGCCCTCCTCCTCCTGCAAGTCACAAAGGCCGTCAAAACGAGCCTCGGCCGCCACAGCACAGTGCGCCAAGCACCGCACGGGTCGGTGCGACCCTCACCTTCTTCTCCTCGGGGGGCGGGGCCGCGGGGGCCGAGGCGTCCTCCTTCTCCTCGTCGTCCAGCACCAGCTGGCCCTGCCGGAACAGCTCCAGCTCGCGCTGCTCCACCTCCTTCTTGAGCCGCTTGTTCTTGATCAGGATCTTGCGCTTGAGCGCGCTGGGCGGCGGCAGCGGCACGCCCGGCTCCAGCTGCAACCACAACGCAGGTTAGAAGCTACAATGCCGGCGAGTCGGCGCCGTCGAAAGGATCTGAAACCCACCGGGTGGTCGGGGAGCGGCTCGGTCTGCAGCAGGTCGCCGAAGATCTCGTCGCAGTACTTGGCCATCTTGAACTGCTGCGTCTTGCAGCAGTGGTTCTCGAAGGACAGGACGATGGGGTACTCGGAGGTGACGAAGGCGCAGTCGCGGATGGCGTAGATGACGTCCTTGAACAGGATGTCGGTGCACATGGCCTTCCCGTGGGTGATGATGGGCTCCTCGTCCTCGCCTTTGCCGTCCCAGCAGTCCAGCTCCACGCACCTAAAAACCGAAAAAAAAGACAGTGAAGCAGCGCTCTTACCGGGAGTCGAACCCTAGCCGCGGGAAAACCCTCGCACCTGCACCCCGCCAGCAGTGTCTGCCGGTACATCTCGACCGAAGATTTGCCACCGAACTGGCGCCCGGACAGGTAGGTGTTGTGGGACGAGTTGATGTAGTAGTGGGCCATGGGCTGGTCCATGTCCATGTAGATGTCCAGGCGGTCCAGGAACACCGGCGCGTTCTCGTCCGACATGAGGTACCTGATGAGCCCATCCTTGGACAACTTGCCTGGAATCGAGAAGAAGAAAAAGAAAGATGGAGACATTGTGGACGCTGTCCGCGATGCGACTCGACACTCACGTTCTTTCTTGACGTCCTCGCTCTGCTCGTACGTCTCGATGATCTGCGTGGCTCTCTTCTCGTCGTACAGCGGGTACAGGATCTCGTTGAGCCGCGGGTCCCTCTGCTTCTCGTTCATGAAGTCCACGAACTGGGTGATGTTGATGGTGTCGGACTTGCCCTGGGTGCTGCGGCAGAAACAATCAACGTGCTCACCGCGCCGTTTTACACTGTCGTCGTTTCACTGTTGGAGCACTCACATGGACTGGAACAGCTCCTCGATGTCGTTCCGCGGGCAGATTTTGTGGTACAGAGTGTAGAACTTGTCGAACGTGAAGGCGTCCGGTTCGATCGAGTCGTTCTGGAAAAGAGAGTTCAATCGCCAATCGCCACAACATCTTTGGACCAGCAAGGCGATCGCTGAGATCCTTTACCTTGCCGCTGGGTAGCTCCAGGTCGGCCAGGCACTGGTACACCAGCTTCTCCGTCTTGCCGGACGCGAAGGTCCTGGCGATCACCTTGACGGGCACGAGGCCCTTGGCGTCCGTCAGCATCTTGAGGCGCATCCAACTGCGGAAGGGGAAGGGGGTTAGTCGGGGACAACCACCAACCGTCCGTCTCCTGCGTCCACGGATATTTTATGCTCGATGCTCGATTCATTACTTGGGTTACAGATTTTATCAAGACTTGAATTGATTTTATTCGCGAACTATTTTCCAGAAGGCGTCCTGGTGAGTACGGTAGACTCGAATGGCCTGCCTGAGGGGATTGGCGGGTCTGTGCGAGACACAAGCGAGCAAGCACTCGACGGGCAAGTCCGTCCACAACTCACTGCTTCATGAGACTGGTCCGTGGGCAAATGTTGTTGATCTTGTTGTTATGGGTGATCTTCCGCAAGCCAGCCTGCCAGGTCTACGCATGCAGAGCGGAACAAAAATTATAGTCAATGTCAGGAAGGCATAAGGAAGCATAGAGAGAGGAAAAAACATGATAATATCGACAATAGCGCAGTCCGTCATCATGGCCAACAGTGTCGATGCTGTGCGTGCGCGGTGCCCGTCCCTTCGGGTACGCAAAGCGAACCGCCCCGGAGATCGTGACATGACGAGTGTGAACAGCTACACCCCTAGTTGCATGCCTTATTCACGTGAGTCAAGAGTCAAAACAGGAGCAAAAATAGAACAAAACGTGTTTGTCATCACAAATGGTGAAAAGGTTTAAAGTCTCCACGGTCGCTCATGCCATGCAGTTTGCGTCAAACTAATTCTGAGGTTATTTTTTTTTAATTCACAGTGCGCGTGCACTGTTCCCTCCGTAGTCAAATGTTCTACGCTACTGTGAAGAAAAATAAACTTTTGCCGCAAAAAAAAATTCAAGAAGAACGCAGTTAAAAAATAAATAAAACTGGAGGGCGTCTACCATCCTCCTGCGATGCCGCTTCGAAGGCAGGCGCAAACTAGTGCACGCAAACTCTATCACTGCTATCGCACCGCTATGTACAGCCCTCCTACTCGCACTTACTGCTTTTTCAAATTCGTCATGGGACACACGTTACTAGCTTTAATGTTGTGCGTGATGGCGCGCAGGCCGTCAACCCACTCCTGGAAACCACAACGTCGCTTTCAGAGAAGAAATATAAAAAGAAGTCCACCGATTTGGTCCAACGTTACAGCCCGCACCCATCCCTGTCGGCGTGGAAATTTAGAGGGTCCCTGATAAAAATGCATGGGGCGCCTGGGAGGTAGGCAGACCGAGGGCTCGGTGGTTACGGGCGGCCCGGACAATCTCCCCCCCCTTCCCCCTCCCCCTTTCCCGCGCTCTGCCGAAGCCCGGCGCAGCCCGGCGGCAGTGGCCAGCCACAGCGAAGCCTACAGTGCACTTGCATGGGCCCGAACGGGCCCGACCCAGCAGCATAGGTCGATGGGTTTGCAGGGAGGTCGAAACGGTTCACGCCCAGCAGAAATCCCTCCTACGCCTCGGCCAAGTTCGCCAAAGTTTGAACAGCAGGGGTTCGGCCAAGGCTTGGCCGAGCCCCGCAGTGACGCGGTGCACAACCAAACCAGGCATTTATGTAAGGCTCTAAGGGGTGTGGGAGGGCAAGTTGGTATCACAAGGGACGCAACGGCACTCCGATTGGAAAAACAAAAACGTTAGTCCCGCACTGATTTGCAGAAATGGCGTCGGTTACCTTGGCCGTGTCGCTGTTGGGGCACACGACGTGCTGGTAGTTGATGTTGATGTAGTCCGTGCCGCTGCAGATGGTGAGGGACTTCTCCTCCAGGTCGGTGCCGTGCTTGGCCTGCAGCTTCTCCGTCAGTTTCATTTCCTGTGGACACACGGTGTCGCGTGACACGCGAGTTCGACGCCGCCCTCCGCCCTCGAAGCGGACCGTAACTGCCGAGGGCATTCTCCGCAGTTGCGGTCGTTTTCTGCGGGCGACGGCGGGCGAGTTGGCGACGCTAAACGGACAAGGCGCTCCATTATTCCGCGCCGGGAAAATGAATTAGTGAGTTACCTTGGGCAGGCCGCCGGCGCGGATGTCGCTCACTTGGCACAGCTCGATCACGTCCCCATCCTGGGCGGAGGCAAACGACGTGAAAACGACATGGAAAGGTCATAAAAACGACATGAAAAGGACGCCCTGCAACAGAACTTGCGCACGACGCCAGTGGGCCAGAGGACCGGTGGAGGCAGCCAAAACCCTAGATGCGTTTTGAACTCCAGAGTCGCTAAACAGAACTCGATACGAACGTGTGACCCCACCAATGGATTCCCCGTTCGAAGAGCAATCCATGGGTGGGGTCACACGTTCGGTTCGCGTCCCATTGGGCGACTGGCGCTAGAATTTTGGCCGCCTCCACCGGCGGGCCACTGTAAGGCACTGACCTTGCCCTCGCTCTTCCAGTAGATGAAGAAGCCGAACTCGTCCACCTTGAACATGCATGCCGCCTCGATGCCGCCCTCGTCCGTCCATCGGTCGAACACGCAGCCGTCCAGCAGCGGCTGCGGCACGGGGATCTGCCAGTCGAAATCGAACTTCTTCGTCATGGTGCCGCGGAGTGGTCACCGTCTGCACCTGCCAACCAGAGCACGGTCAATCCTTTTTTTTTTAAGTCGGAGTGGTGGCGCAAAGCGGCGAGCTTGGCCCTCCGCGCTCTCTTCGCACACTTCTGGCCTGGAGTGTGGAACTCAAAATGGGCTGGAACGTGTTTCATGGGCCACGTACGACAAATATACGCGACTCACGCCAGCAGTTTATAAAAACTTAATCAAACATTGTTGTTTTTTTTGCGGTGTACGCCCGCACGCCGCAGTCCCTAGCGGCAGCGTGTGGAGCCAATCTGTGAGCGTGCGGCCGGTTGAGGCGCTCTCGCAAACTAGCAACTAATTTGCTTCCCAAAGTTGGCCACGCTCCCCGGCAACATCGCGCAGGCCGCGCGCCCCGCCCCGCCCCGCCGCGCCGGGCGGCACGCTGTCCACATAAGCCAATCAGGATGTGGATCACCCGGGGACCGCAAAGGGGGAAGGGGGTGGGGGGGGAAACGTGAGGCGTTACTTTGCGGCGCCCGCTCGCTTTTGTCATCCCTCCCCCCTTTTTCCGTGACACGCGGGAAAACGCGGGAAAATAAAAAGGCCCTCTCGGATGGTCGCCCTTCATCAAAAAAGTAACCGGGCCAGCGCGCCTCTCGACGGAGGAGCTACTCGAAACTCTGCTCGGCCGACTAATGTTCTTTGTTTTTGTTTCGCTCCGCGAAATAATTAAAAGCTTGCGACGTGAACAGCAAGCGAAGCGGCCAGGGACTCGCATTCCGAAGTGCTTTTCGTCGCTCTGTCTCCGTCGCACTTGTGGGGCGGCCCGCGGGGGTGCGAGCGAGACGGAGCGATCCGCCCCGACGCTACAATTCCCCGGTCTAATCTCGGACACTGCCTGGCAGTGCCTGGCAGTGCCTGGCAGTGCCGCACTCATCGGAGGCCAGACCGGCCGGACCATCATCACGACGGCCTTTGCCGCCTCCACCGCCCCACTGGCGGGCATCTCGCCTCGCGTCAATTCGATCCGAGCCGCCCCAGACCAATTCGTGTCAACCCCAAGCCGGGCCAGCCAGCGCCGCGCCGTATTGGCCCACTAGCGGGCCTGGAGTGCCGAGAGAGAGGGAGAGAGACAGCCGAGTGCAAATAGCAGCGTCTCGCCAACGGCACGGAAACCCTCTTTGTTGAGACCTTCAAACATGTCGCCGCCTCCATTTGATCGCGAGACTGATTGATGACGGTACACTGGAAAAGGGAAACGTTCCAGAAAGAAGAGCAACGCGCGCTCCCTCCAGCGAGGCAGTCTCGAGTGGAGTCAGCCTGGCGGGTAGGCAACCGCCCGGCAGCGAGCGCAGCGTAGCCTTGCCGCGGCCTACCCGCCAGGCGCTCGCCGCGGGCCTTCTTTGTGGACGGGCCCACAGTGGGCCAGAAGACCGGTGGAGCCGGCCAAAACTCTAGACGCGTTTCGAGCTCCAGAGTCGCTAAATAGGACTCGAACGGTACGTGTGACCCCACCAATGGATTGCTCTCCGAACGAGGAGAGAGGTCTCACGTTCGATTCGAGTCCTGTTTAGCGACTCGGGAGCTCAAAACGCGTCTAGAGTTTTGGCCGCCGGCGCTGGTCTTCTGGCCCACTGTGGGGCCGGGCCGCCCGCCCGGGGTGGGGGTGGGGGTGGGGGAGTTTGAGTGATTATAGAGGGCGGAGCACGGAGCACGTGGGGTGGCGCGAGCCGCGCGAGCACACCTTGAAGCTGGGGCATCGTGTTGCATAACGCAGTAGCGGCCCGGCCTCACCTACACTCTAAATGTAGGGTGCCCAGTAACTGGGCGCCTTTGTCGCCCGCCCCACTTTTTAGGGTGCCAAATGTCGCCCAGTTTCTGGGCACCTTTGTCGCCCAGTCTCGGCGTGGACAAATCATACAGCAACCGGCCCTCTCCCATGGTAGAGGATGCACAGGTGTCTAGTTCCTGGGTGACTAAGGTGCCCAGATTCTGGGCACCTTTGGCACCTTAGTCGCTGCTGAGCCATGGGTGAAGGCAGGTTCCTTTGTGGATTGTCCACCCCTAGACTGGGCGACAAAGGTGCCCAGAAACTGGGCGACATTTGGCACCCTAAAAAGTGGGGCGGGCGACAAAGGCGCCCAGTTACTGGGCACCCTACATTTAGAGTGTAGGCCTCACATCCCGAGCGGCGTCGCTCTGTCTTTCTCGCACCCCTGCGACCTGCGGGACGCCCCTCGAGTGCGAGGGAGACAGAGCGGCGTAAGGTCGGAATGAGCCAGCCGGCCCCGGCGTGGCGCCGGCGTGGCCCCGGCGTGGTCCCGGCCTGACGCCCCGCACCCATCCCAACGAGACTCCCAGAATGACAAACACCCGATGCAATGCAATGTCTGAAATGGGAGGCGGATCGCTTGTCTCCGCGGTCTGCGGCTCGCGTTGCATGTAGGCCGACGGCGCCTCGTCGCATGCATCATGCAGGATGCATCATTCAGGATGCATCATGCAGGATGAGCCGATTGCCAGACCAGTGTACACGACGCCCCGTTAGGCCAACGGCGCGCTTCTCGGGGTGGCCGACCGGCGGGCAGGCTGGAGCGCGCCGCCGCACAGTGGGCCAGAAGACCGGCGCCGGCGGCCGAAACTCTAGACGCTTTTTGAGCTGCAGAGTCGCTAAACAGGACTCGAACCGAGCGTGTGACCTCACCAATGGATTCCTCGTACGGAGAGCAATCCATTGGTGGGGTCACACGTTCGGTTCGAGTTCCATTTCGCGACTCTGGAGCTCAAAACGCGTCTAGAGTTTTGGCCGCCGGCGCCAGTCTTCTGGCCTACTGTGCGCCGTGCCGCCGTGTGCAGTCCTCGCAGGCACGCCGATTCACCAGGCCACTAGGAACGAGTCGGCCCCCGAGGGCAAAGCGTGTAATGGACCCGTGGGGCGCGGTCCCGGTAGTCTCCGTCCCTCTCACACCCCTACAGGGAGCACTCCGCGAGTGCGAGAGAGACAGCGACCACTGGGACTGGGTTCCGGGCATGCGGAAGAATCGACCGGCAAATCGGTTAGTCGTCGCGTTGTGTAACCGATCCGGACTAAAAATAGCCCCCAGTGTAATTCGTGGGCAACGAGTGAGCATTCCGCGAACCCCAACAGTCCTTCCACCCCGCGGTCTACCCCGCCCCGCCGCGCCCCGCCCGTCACATGCAAGCATGCAAGCCCCGGCAGGCAAATTTAATGCAGTCTGCTGCTTGCTGCTCCGGGCTGCCTTTTCAGGGCTCCAGCGGAAATGGTCGCCGTGCCTAGTGATATTGAAATTCTCCACCCAGAGGCAGCCAGAAGCAGCCAGAGGCAGCCAGACGCTGGCACTCACACCCCGACGCCCCCGGACTGCTGATGGCCGGGCATGACGACACGCGCGCGCGCGCGCGCGCGCACACACACACACACACACACACACACACACACACTTCGCTAACCCCCGCCGAGAAAACAAGAACTTAGTCGTGGCAACAGCAGAAAATTACTGTTTTTTGGACGAAATTAAATAAATAATGAATCCGAATTAATTCTCACGGGCACTTGAAACCAAAGCGTTTTTTACGAAACTGGGAAAAGTCCGGCCAAGCCGTGAGCGAGGCAATTATTGAAGTAAATAAGGAGGATTACTAGGCTCTTGGCTGCCGCAACAAACTCCTTCGGTTTCTGTTTTGATTTTGCGTATCGATTGTAAAGCTCGGTCGGTCCAGCTTGCGTGGCACAGCTCGTATCGTCCCGCGGTGTTCCCCGCCTCATCTAGCGCCCGCCCCGCCCCGCCCCGCCCCGTCATGTCCTCGGGATGAATAATAGATGAAGCCAGCCGAGGCGAGGCCTCAACGCCGAACAGGAGTTTAGCACTCACTCGTTGCGCGAAAAACGCAGTTTTTTGGAAGAGTGAGGCGGGGCCCGCAGGGCGGGTAGGCAACCCCCTTGAGTCCTGCCTCACTGCTGCGCTGCGCACACCACCTCACTCCGCTACTCCCCTAATCGACCGGGTTCATGCATCCGCCGTGGGCTTGGACTCCCTGCTGCCTCGGCGTTTCGGCCCGGAGGCGGGGCGGCGGCGCGGCGGCAAAAACTCGCGCAGATGTCCGGATTGAAGATGACGACGGCTGGGGGCTGCTGGCCCTGCTGGCCCTGCTGGCGCCAAGGCCACGGCGTTCAGGGGAGCGGTATCCCCCCAGCCCCTTCCTCTTCCGGGGGCAGAATCCGGCGGCAGGGTATTCCGTATCGCGTTTCGCGTTTCGTCCCGAGCTGCTGCCGCCGGTTTTCGTTTTCGGCCAGAGGGCCGTGTGGCCCGTGCAGCCCGCGCGGCGGCCGCTCCTTTTTATTTTCAAAGTTGGTGTCCTTGAGAGTCCCGCACCGCGCACCGGGTGGCCGTACAAGCATAGTATCATCTTTTTCCAAGCGGTGGCCGGGCGCACAGCCCGAAAAGATAAGGATATACTTTTGAGGTTGGTGCCGCTGTGGCTGGTCATTTCGAAAAGAGTTGCATTATTTTTTGGACTGCCACACGCCCCTTTTTTATTGTACGAGACACGCCTGGAAGATAGGCAACCTTTATTTACTCTGTCGGAATTTATCAGCAAAAAGCAAGAAATGGGCCTCGTCGAGGCATTTTTAGCTCCAAACTTCTTTCTCTCTTGTTTTTTCTTTTTTATACTAGGTCAAAGTACTATGTCTACAATTGTCTACTAACCGTCTACAATGGACTGCACTCTAAATGTAGGGTGTCCAGAAACTGGGCGCCTTTGTCGCCTGCTCCACTTTTTAGGGTGCCCAATGTCGCCTAGTTTCTGGGCACCTTTGTCGCCCAGTCTCGGGGTGGACAATCCACAAAGGAACCTGCCTTCACCCATGGGTCAGCAGCGACTAAGGTGCCAAAGGTGCCCAGAATCTGGGCACCTTAGTCGCCCAGGAACTAGACACCTGTGCATCCTCTACCATGGGAGAGGGCCGGTTACTGTATGATTTGTCCACCCCGAGACTGGGCGACAAAGGTGCCCAGAAACTGGGCGACATTTGGCACCCTAAAAAGTGGAGCAGGCGACAAAGGCGCCCAGTTTCTGGACACCCTACATTTAGAGTGTGGTTGTTATATTTTCGTGCGTTCTTGCGTGGGGCGTGCCTACTTCACATGGGTATTTTTCGGGACGCTTTTGGCAGTGCGGTCTCAGATCCCTTTGACCTGCCCACGGCGAGGGCGTGTCAGACGGTGTGTGTGTGTGTGGGGGGGGGGGGGGGTTGGTGTGTGTGTGTGTGGAGGGGGAGGGCGGCCCCAGGCACAGGGCTGTCATTATTTGCCACGCAAGATAGCGCGCCGTGTATTACAGTGGGCTAACAAGCGCGGCATCCCTGCAGTGAGGGCCACGCGCCACGCGGACACGGGCCTCTGTGTTTCACGTCGCTCTGTCTCTCTCGCACTCACGAGGACGCCCTACGGGTGCGAGAGAGACACATGCCTGCCGCACGCCACGCGAGCGTCAACCAATCAGGCATTCGGGACAATTTGCGAGGTGGCGCTCCGCTACCGCCCGGAAACGGGGTTCAAAGTGCATGCCGAAGTGGCCACTGGAGTGATTGCGTGTGTGTGGGCGGTCGGGGAGGGTCGGGGTGTAGGCTCCCAACCTGCTTGTGAAATATTCAAGTGTGACCCGCGACCTGGGCCAGGCCAGCACGGAGTACATGGGGAAGGGGGCGAGGAGGTCGACCTCGTAACCGACGGGAAACTCGTCCAGGCAACCCAAGAGCATGCCCAAGAGCGAAGAACGCCGACGCCACCGCGGCAGAGCACCGTGTTTTGGAAAATCGAGGCAACGAGGCCGGGGAAGTGGATTTTCAAAAGTAGGTTACGACACGTGAAGTGGGCGGCAACGGCGATGTCCTGACTCCAGCGCGCAAGGCACCCCCGCCCCCTCTCCGGATCGCCTGCTGCACTTTTTGCAAGCCTCTCAATGGAGTTCCCTCCTTCTCCCTCCTCTCGCAAACACGGCTTCTTCCAACACGAAACGACAGAGAAAGACACCGCTGCGACAAATTCGTCGACCAGCCAGTTACTCTGTGTCGCGGGACCGTGTGGCCGGGCTGCCTGCCTGCCGGGCTGCCTGTCGGCCTGCCCCACTAACAGATAGAGCGACCCATGTCACGCAATCGAAACGAAACGACGAGTCGTAATCGTGTGTGCTGCTCAGAGTAAGTTTGATGATCCATATATGAGAAAGTTTTGTCTTTCGTCTCCGTGACTTTTTAAATTTTAGTGAGACACGACACTCGTCTGTGAGTCGCCGTATCTCTCCTGCTCGGCTATTCTTTCTATCACTGAGCTGACAGAGTTTCATTGAGCGAGCTTCTTTTGAATGAGAGGACTGTCAGGAACGAAACAGTTCCTGTCGAAAAATTATGACAGCTGACAGACCGAGCGGCATTCCGAATTCATTGACATTGTGTCATTGTATCTGTTGGGCTGCAGCCGTCCATTGTTAACTGTGTGACGGCACGGCACGGCAAGGCACCCACCCCTAGCTTTGGGGTGGGTGGGCTCCGCAGGCTTCAAGCTTCGCCACCTCGCTTTCTGTCGCCCTTTTCCTCACCGCCCAGCCCTACCTCTGACATTTCGCTCTCCATGAAACACAAAGGGAACCAAACAAACGTTTTCACTAACGGCCCTATTCTATGTTTGTCGGGTGCTGTCGAGAAGATACCGGTCGAGGGCCATCTTCGTGCAGTACTGAAAGAAAGTGCAAACGGCGAAAAAAGTGATAGGCGTCCTCAATTTGTTTGCTGGCACACGTAAGTCAATGGCCACACGCATGCATGGCGGCCCATACCAGATTTCCGCTTCTGTACATCCGGTATCCCCAAGGCCTCATCACTGCATTGGCGGTGTGGGCGCGAGTGATGGCAACAGCAGCGACCACCCGGTGCCACGGGCCACCCGTTTGCAGCCCCTCGGCTCGGCGCGGCTCGGCGTGTGAAAGCAGGGCGACCCTTCTCCTTGGCCGTGCTTCGCCTCGCCCTGCTTGGCCCCGGCGCGGCGCTGCTCATCGTCAGTGCTGGCAGCGCCACTGGAAGCGACGCAAGCGACGCAAGCGGCGTGGATTGAGCGGCCTTCCAGGCTTCCAGCGGGCTTCCAGCAGGCTCCAGCGATTCGCAGCCACCCCCTGCCCCCCTCCCATTGTTTCGCTAGGAAATGCCGCTCGCCGCCCGCCTTGCCGGGCTGTGCCGCGGCTGTGCCACGGCTGTGCCGCTGTGGCGGGCCAGCAGCGCAGCCAGCGCAGCCCCACCCCCTCCCTTGGAGGTCACGCGGCAGCGCGGCAGAGTGGCTGGTCCTTGCCGGCGTGTGCAGCGTGTGCACCCGGCCCCGTCGCCCCGGTCTACGGCCTACACTCTTACCTGCGTGCATTATCTGGGGCTGCCGGGGGTGGGCACTTCCCGACGCGTGCTGGCGGCTGGGGCTGGCGGATCGGGCTGGCGGCACGCGGGACACGCGGAGAAGGGGCAGGCAGGCAAGGCAGGCAGGCCGCTCGGCACTGCCGCTCTGCCGCTGGCCGCTCGCGTTGGCCCCACTCGTCCCTGCCGGCGTGCGCGTGGCGCTTGCTGTGGGCGACTGGTGCGTCTGGCTGCTTCTAGTGCCCCGGCCCGGCGCTCCCTGCCGCCCAGCTTGGGCCCAGCCAGCCCAGCCCCCCGCCACGGCAGTCGCGGCCAGCGGCAGGGCGAGCAGGCGGTCACAGCCACGTAGGGGGCGCGAGGCGCGAGGGGGGCGGGCCTTCGGGTCCCGCTCGGCCGGCGCTCGGCTGCGCGCTCGGCTCTCGCTGCCAAACCACCCCCGCCCGCCCCGCCATGCCAGCGTGCCAGACGAGGCGCCCTGTGTAGCCTACAGGGCGTGATGCACCCCCGCCCGCCCCTGCCCCACGGTGTCAGTGAACGCGAACCCGCAAGATAAACCACTCGGCAGGGGGTGACCATCCCTTCGGGACCCTGGGGACCCTTCGGGAGGGAGTGAGACAGCGAGGCAGAGAAGGGCGGCCAATCCGCGCATCGGCGCCACTAAGGCTTTGCGGAACCTCCTTGCCGGCTTGCCGGTCGAAAGGCACGGCCGCGAGGGACGCGGTTTGAAACGGCGGACCAGGAGGGGCTGGGCGTGGGGCCGCGCTGAGTCACCGGAAATTGGGAATTTGCCGTCGGGGGAAGTCCCTTTGACGCGCCGCGCCTTGCCTGCGCTACACAGTTAGGGTTGCAAACCTGAAGAAAATTGAAAGATAAAAACAACAGCTGCTTTTCCGCTTTGGGTGCAGTATCCATTTGTCGAGACGTGCCTATTGCTGGATGTCCAACTTCCTCAGCCCGGGACTCGGTGGTTGGCACTACCGGTTCCCCGGCCTAGAGACGGGACGCGGCAGAAAGCCTTTCCCCTTTGGCTGCCAGTGCCCGCCAGTGCCACGCCGGCCGGCGTAATGGGATTTCAAGATCGAAGCGCGGAGGGGCCGGAGGGGCGGGCTGCAGCGAAGCCGCAATGTCACACACGCCACGCCATGGCTTCTAAGGCATCACGTTCCTGGCTATGCTCTGTTCGTCCAGGAAAAGAAGGGGATTTTTTTTTAAAGATGAAACGGAATAAATGCTGACGCGGGACTTTCCTACTAGGCGGCCGGCTGTGTGCTTGCCTCGTAACGCGTAATTTAGAGAAATATTGGCGAAAAAAATCGCAGTTGGTTCGCAGCTTTAATTTTTAGCAGATGATACCTTTGCTACCTTTGCTTTAAAATATACCTAATACTACGAGACACAAAGGTGTCAGCTAGCTTTTACTCCAGAGTCCAGAAACGAAGTGCGTATCCTAACAATATAATAGGGGCGGGCTGCGGGGGCGGGATGGTGAGTCTGTCTGGCTGTGGCGCGGCGCAGCCTGCGCGGAATTCAACTATGCTTCCCGGCTAGGCTCAGCCCCGCGGGCGCCCGCGGACCCCGCGCGGCAAGGACTCTTGGAACCATTCGTTGGGCTATCACAAAGATGAGAGCATCCTGCCAAAACTAGCACACACGACAGCACCAGACGAGTATCATCTGCTTTCATTAACGTTCGTTGAATGAGATTTTTAACAACTATGCATATTGCTGCATATGGTTCCAACAGAATGGACTTTCCAACATGTTTTAATGCAGCGCCATTTTGACGAATAGTGCTCCTGTTTTCACAAACTAGATCAGTCCTAGCAATGTGGTGGGTGGTATGGGCGGGCGGAGAAAAGGGTAACACTTCATCAAATATAAAAAAAATCAAATCAATTTATTTGATGAACTATACGTGAAGTCAAGGAGAAGACACAATCAATTCACATTTATTAGATTTTTGACAGATTTAGTATTGTTTTTGCTGGATTCAATCTTCTCTCTGACTTGAATGGCATGGTTTCTGAAGGCAAAGTGTCGATCTACATCTTCAACATCAAATTTCCTCACTGGCCATAATGTACTGGATTTACTCTTTTGTTCCTTTGTCACATTACGTTGAATGCAGAGCCAACCTGATGGTGAAAATGAATTTCTAGAACTATTTGGCACTATAGGAATATGGAGTGCAGAGCCGTCCTCTGACTTCTGGCAAATTGGAGAAAACTCTGGAAGTACCTGCAAAAGTGGCAAAAGGGTACGATAAGAACAAAAGTTTAAGATGAAGTCTCAAAAACTTTGTTGTTACGCAGAGTGCTGACCAAATTTGCGGCTAGATATCCAGTGCCCACAACTTGATGACTAAGCTGCCACTTCCTAAAAGCAGCACGGGATTCTTGGGGCATGCGTGCGTAGTAAGTTCCATAAAAGTCATTTGAAACAAGAAGGGTATTAGGGCCTCCGGAAACCGCTGCATAAATTATATAGGCATCATCCACTGAGCTGAAACATGTACAGTTAGAGTTAGTTTTGCACATACAAATGAAAATTTTCACAGAAAATTTTGATAGAATTATATAAACAAGATAATTTACCGGTCTCTGACAAAATATGTTATGTGGTTCTTGAAAACGGATGTGAAGCCTGTTTTGCCTCTCATATGATTCCTACCAAGGAGTAATATTTTGTGGCCACGATCCTCAAGATCCTTTACTGTTTTCTTGGCCTGTAATCAGGTGAGAATAAAGAGAATTGAAATGAATGCTGGCTCATAAAGAGAAAACAGGACTGAGGAAGATGTTAGATTAGAAGCGAATAAACTTACAATGGCGAAAGGATTTGAACTGGACTTAGTTCTGAAGAACAGGTTTGCACCATCGATAACAACCGTGAAAGGAGGAGACATCTTCAAAAACATTTTGAATTCGTGAAGCTCACCTGCTTCATAAGTTGTAAATTTGCAATTCACCTCAAATCTTTTTTCAACACTTTTCAACAAACTATCTTTCTCTTCACTAGTCAGTGGAATTTTCTTGAGTTTCCTTTTACAGCAGCTACAGTGACCGCTGTAAAAAAAAGAAGTTTGTGAGTTTTTGTCAAGTGAATAAAAGTAATGATCACAAGTCAATAACTTCACATTTTGAAAGGTACACAGTTCTGGATCCTCATACCTCAGCCCAACAGTGGAAAATCGGGAAACTGTTTTGACATCTTTATTTAATATACTATCAATTTCTTCTGCTACACTAACAGGAAGACTGAGGGAGAACTCTTGAATGAAATCAAACAGCTTTGACAGTAGTCCCTCATTTGGATAGAGAATGTGGCTTTCAACTATACCATGAAACAACTGGAAATACAGCATAGTTTGGATTCAACACAGAGATCACAGGACTTTACTTAGACTCTAATTTTTTTTTTTTTAGATAATTACAATTCAAGCATTTTACTGTGCTCTAAAGAAAATTTTACCTCAGGGCAACAATTAGTTCCTCCTAAGAATGCTGCAGCCTTCCTCAGCTGATCCCATGCATAATCAAAGTCACCATGCCGGAAAGCCGCAAGGGCTGATAATTCAGGCACACAGGCATCATGCTGGAAAATTAAAAATTTGGAATAAAGACCTACCAAGACAATAAATTTTTGAAGACAAGAGAACAAACAATAGGGAACCTTCTTACCGTGCTCAACATTGATCCCAAAAGTTCACATTTTTCTTTCCACGATGAAGTAACCCCTACTCCAAAAAGGAGTGGCTTTACTATATGTGGCGTTAGTACTTGGAACTTGTTTGTAACTTCATCAACAGTATCTAAAATAAATTTGTGGTCATCTGCTGTACAGTCAGCTTCATACATTTTAAACACTTGTAATGTCTGAGCTTTCAAAATCAGAGAGAGGAAGTTCTCTTGATGAAGAGCAGCAAATAATATTTTTAACTCTGACAAACCAGGATCTTTAGAAACTAAGGCAACGAATGCTTGATATCCAAATCCTCGCTCAGAGCAAACCTTACTCAGCTTCCTCCAATCTGAGACGGACAGTTGTTTCTTCATGTTTAAAATATTCCTCACGGTTAAATACACCTTGCAGTCAGATCTATTAACATTCTGTGCAACTTCAAATGCTGAAGGGAGGAACTGCGCGATAACTGCTTTATTGATGTTGCACAGTCTTCGGAAGAGACGCATCTGCAGGACAGATAAAACAAAATTTAGCACGTGAGACACAGAGACAGGCATAGAACAGCCTAAGTGCTCTCATAAAATAAACATGAAAGCATCAGGCTTGCAGTGCCAACAAGGTCTATTGATGAGAATCATGAATTATGTTTATCATAAAGCTGCATAAAGCACGTTATCTGAGGTTACGTCTCCCATACACTCTTCAGTAAACGAATTATAATAATGATTAAAACAGATTGTTACAAGAAAGTTTCAAGACGAAAGTAAAGCTTCAGAGTTGCAATTATTAGAACGTACATTGTAATAGTTCTTTAAACCGTACGTTGGTAAGCATAACAAAATGAGCCAGGCCAGGCCAGAGCCGCTACTCGTCCCAGCGTAACCTTTCCAAATCACTCCGCCAGTAGCCAGAGAACAGAAAATAGTCCCGCAGGTAATAGGATTTTTAAAAACTAATAATCAATTCTAGACCGTTGCGATCGTAATAAATCGTATAAGTAAACAACGTTGAAAAAATACGAACAATCTCAGACGTAATCACTAAGCATTCCGGGTTCTGCATTTCCGCGGGCAGACGACGCGCCGGTCCGAGCCCCTCAAAACACCGGTCTCTCGGACCCTCTTTTTGCACTAAGATTGAGTGACTGAAAGAGATATCATAATGACAGCTTGCATTTCTCTAAACCTAAGACGTTGTTGTATGCCCAGCTGGCCCTTGTCTTTCGAAATTGTGCCTTATTATTCAGAAATTTTGATTTGAGTGCACAAGGCTGGCTTCTCCTCTAGACCGAGCTCCCAACTTTTTAGATTATCTTTGAGCAAGTGAAAGAGATTCAATAATAACTGCTTATATCAGTGAAAGCCCCACACATTTTTGTCTGCCGGAATCGCCTTTATTTTGCGAAACTTTGCCTTCTTGTTTAGATATCCCGGATTGTGTGCGCGAGGGCGGCTTCTCCTCCCGACCGAGCTCCCGACTTTTTAGATTATCTTTGAGCAACTCAAAGAGATTCAATAATAACTGCTTATATCAGTGAAAGCCCCACACATTTTTGTCTGCCGGAATCGCCTTTATTTTTAGAATCAATACTTATTTCCTGAGGATTGTGAAATAAAATGCGCCGATTTGGGGAAAAGACGGACGAGGGGCTACTTTCGGAAAGGTTACGCTGGGACGAGCAGCAGAGCAGGGAGCAGACGCCGCACAGTCGCGCAAATTACAAACAAAGTCTCGATCTGGCGAACGAGAGAGTTGAGTCTCGATGTCTCGATGGGTTTTGCGTGAAAGATATTGCTTGAATATATTTACAATGTTTAAGGAGAAAGTCTACAAACTATTTACCATTGCGTTCAAGTAATAGGTACCCAGGGACCATCAATATTTGAGCTGGTAGCTGGGTTAAGAGGCAGGTTATGAGTCGATATCTCGATCAATAGAGGTCCTCCAATGCTGACGTCACGAAGCTCACTGAGTGGCAAAACCGCGCGAGAATTCGAATGCGGAGACGGCGGTGGGTCAGGATTTATTCGGGTATGCGAACACGTAGGTGGCTGACTGAGTTTCAAGACTCATTATCACGACTCAAAATATATTTCCTGTAACCAAAGTATGCGATTTATGCGTCCATCTCTTTAAGACATTGTCAAACTCCGGCCCCGGCGCCGACTCCAGATTCAAACTCGCGCGCTCCCTGCCACTCAGTGAGGAAAGTGAGGATGGCCCGGTATGGCCTCTATGTTTCAAATCCGACGACAACTCTTCCACCACTGTTCGTAGAATTCCTCTTAAGGAATTTTGAACATCAAACAACGCTCTTTAAATAAATTTCCAGTGAAATAGCGAAAATTAAAGTGGGAGTGGTTTTGGGCCGAGGAAGGCGGTGTGAGTGTCACGTGACCAATGGAGGATCTCTATATGCATCTCGAATTACTTTCGATTTCGTCACCGTCACCGGCTTTCGAGACCCAGCCTGCGCTCGCTCAAGTGGGCCGTGATTGCGTTTTCGCTCGACGTTGACGTTTGGAGCTGGAAAGGCTGATTTTTCTGTCGTTTTTAGTTTTTACTCTGCTCTGATCTGAAGCAAACCGAGTCAAGATGAATGTAACATCTGCAGGTTTGTTATTTATTCCCTTCCTGGCTTGTTGGTCTTTGTATTATTATCGGACTTTCAATGTTGTTGTCGTGGAGAAGCACTCCTACCGGGGGGTTGCAAGTCATTGTCATCGCAAATTTTCGTAACTTTTCCCATTAAATGATTAATATTTTAGAGTGCTCCGTACATATTTGTATTTGTGTTCAAGTCCTTATCTTCTAAGCCAGATTTCGCAATCTTGGACTGTTAAATAGTTTGTTCACCCGTTTTTAACCTCACTTCGACAAATACTCAATGAGGACAGTGTTTTCATTGTCTGAATGCCATTCATGCCATTCATGCCGTTTTGTCGACCCAAGTCATTGATTTGTTTGTCATCTTTTGTTTCAGCGGGGGTCATATCCCTCCTGGATGAGCCAATGTCTGAGCTCAAGGTATTTGCGTTGAAGAAGCTTGATACTATTGTTGATGAGTTTTGGCCTGAAATATCGGAAGCTATTTTGAAAATGTAAGTATAGTGCTAGAGCGTAAATGTCCTTCTTATTTCTCAAACTACTTAGCCTATTTTGATACTCACGTTCTCACCTTCTGGTCCTGATACCTGTGTATTTCTTACAGCGAGATTTTGCATGAAGACAAGACTTTTGACCAACACAAATTGGCTGCCCTTGTCGCCAGTAAAGTATATTACCACTTAGGGTCATTTGAAGACTCTCTAAATTTTGCCTTGGGTGCTGGTGACCTGTTTGATGTTATGTCTCGTTCAGAGTATGTCGACACAACAATAGGTGGGTTTTGTCCCTGACCTTTATTTTTTTTTTTTTTGGTATTATATGTTTTTACACACTGTTTTTCTTGCAGCAAAATGCATTGATTTTTACACTCAGTACCGGAACACAAATGCTGAGGGTGGGAAACAAAAGGAAATAGATCCTCGACTTGCTGCCATTGTTGACCGCATGTTCCAACGTTGTTTGGACGATGGCCAATACCGCCAGGCTCTGGGGCTTGCTCTGGAAACTCGTAGAATGGATATCTTTGAAAAGGCTATCAAACAATCTGTGAGTAGTAATGATATAGATAGAATAAATTTTTCTGCTCATGTTGTGTGTTTTGAAGGGCATCATCTCTAACTGGTTATTCATGTGCCCACAGGATGATGTTGGTGGCATGCTTCACTACGCTTTCCAAGTTGCTATGAGCCTCATTCAGAACAGAGGTTTCAGGAATTCTGTTTTGCGGTCTTTGGTTGCACTCTACAGAGATCTAGACACCCCTGACTACGTCAACATGTGTCAATGTCTCATTTTCTTGGATGACCCGCTTGCTGTGGCTGATGTCCTGGAGAAATTGAGCAAGGATAGTGAGGTAATGCTTATGTCTGGGTTTGGTTTGAGTGCCTAGAAGCTTTGAACTTTTATTGACTCTCTTTGTTATTTTGCTAACAGGACAGCACGCTGATGGCATATCAAATTGCATTTGATCTTTATGAGAGCGCTACTCAGCAGTTTCTTGGGCGTGTTCTGCAAGCACTTCGTGCAACTGCACCTATTCCCTCCCTTACTGATAAGCAAACCAAAGTTTCTGTGGAAGGTATGGTTGCAGCTGCAGCTGTTGCAAATGCTGCTGAAAAGGACAGTTCAAAATCTGAGGAAGATCCAAAAGACACTAAACCAGAGAAAAAACTGGAGAATTTGGTAATTTAAAATTGATAGAAGTATTAATTCAATGTAAATGTTTGATTTTTTTTTTGTACTTTGTTTAAGTAAAACTTTTCTTTTCAGACTGAATCAGAAAAAGTTCTTCAAACTAGGGTAGAGAAATTGGCTAGCATTTTAAGTGGTGAAGTTTCTATAGATCTTCATCTTCAATTTCTCATACGCAGTAACCATGCAGACATGTTGATTTTGAAGAATACTAAAGATGCCATCCGAGTTTCCATATGTCACACTGCTACCGTGATTGCTAATGGTTTTATGCACAGTGGAACAACAAGTGACCAATTTTTGAGGTGAATACAACCGCAATGACAGCCTGTTCAAAGGAGACTGAAATTAAATCCTGTGAACTTACATTCTTATCTTTCAATTTCAGAGATAATCTTGACTGGTTAGCACGAGCAACTAATTGGGCCAAACTCACTGCCACTGCATCTCTAGGAGTTATTCATCGGGGACATGAACATGAAGCCCTTGCACTTATGCAGAGCTACTTGCCTCGCGAGTCGGGTCCAACATCTGGCTTCAGTGAAGGTGGTGGCTTGTACGCACTTGGTTTGATTCATGCCAACCATGGCGGAGCCATCATTGACTACTTGCTCGGTCAACTCAGTGAAGCACAAAATGAGGTTTGACATGATTTCCTGCTCATGTGCTTTTGTTTGACGGTGAACACATCTCACTCAATGTCTCTTTTGATGGTTTCTTTCAGATGGTCCGTCACGGTGGCTGTCTCGGCCTGGGCCTGGCGGCCATGGGTACCTACCGTCAGGATGTGTACGACCAGCTCCGCGCCAACCTGTACCTTGATGACGCCGTGGCGGGCGAGGCGGCCGGAATCGCTATGGGCATGGTCATGTTGGGCTCCAAGGAGGCTCAAGCCATCCAGGACATGGTCGCGGTAAGCATCTCCCTTTGAACCTTGGGTCTGACGGAAAAGAAAGAGAAGGAAAAAGTAGAGGAACAGCGGACGGAGCTAAATAATTGCGGGTGGGCCAAACAGGGTCAAATTTTTGTCGCTCGAGAAGGGGCCGGTGCTGGCTCATTAAAAATTGCCGCTCGGCCTCGTCTCGTGCCGCCCGGGCCCGGCCCGGGAGGCTCGGCAGGCCCGGCAGGGAAGTGGCTAGCTAGACGCGCTCGCAGTGGCCGGTGGGCCGGAGGCTGAGGTGGAGGTGCTGCCACATCGCTACACCCTGCTCGGTGCTCGATCCACGATCAGCGATCCGGTGCTGGATTACCTGTAGCGCTGTGGCGCGGTGAGCCGTGATGCTGTCCCAGGCCAGGGGGCGTGTTTGGCCCGGCTCGGCCCGGCAGGGCCCTGTGTGTGGGTCATTAAGCTCGAATCCAGTTTCACGTGCCGTTTTCCAAGGCAAACGTCGCGGCCCGCCAACATTTCGGACTCGCGCCATTAATGCAACTAGTGCCCCCTCCCTCCCACCCTCCAGTCAACTTTTTCGGTAGGCAAAGTTGGCAGCGTTTGCTCTCGCATTCCACCTGGATTGAACTGTTAATATTTACCCAAGGACAGCCCCCTCCCCTCCTCCACACTGTGAACGCGTGTACGCATGTGCGTGCGATTCCGGGCCTCACTTGTGTGGAACCCCAGGAAACAGGAAACGACGTCTTTTGTGCCGAATCCCCCCGAGGTTGGCGGCACTGCTAGGCCGCTTGCGGTGTCGCGGCAAAGTTATGCCCGAGGACGGTCCGACTCGCCTTTAGCGTGTCGATGTTGGCCGTTATCAATTTCTTTTGAATCGCCCTGATTGGTTTGAAAGTCGGACCAAAGGCTTGATTATTTTTTTTTTTATCATATTGCCTTTGAGAGAGCCTTGCGTTTTTTCCCGCTGCCGTGGAAAAACGAAATGAAGGCCAGCATCAGTTTATGGAAAGTCGATAACGCGAATGGAGGTGCGGGAGAGCAGTCATTTCACGGACGGGGGCCGGGAAGGAGAGCGTGGCGGCGACGCGGCGACGGATGCGACTTTGTCTTTTTCTCGTGATGTTGTTTTTATCTGAGCCGGGTTTGGGCCGTGCTTTTCTCTCTTCCAACCCGGTCCTTGCTTATTCGGTTTACCGCGAGACGCGGGGCGGCGCGGGGCCCCACGGGGCGGCGCGGGGCCCCACGTGGGGCGAGACGGGAGTGGCGCGACGGGGCGACGCGAGCGCGCGACCTCGGGGAACACTGCTGCGCTGAGGTGAGGCTGTAAAGTTTCCTTGTGTAAACGACAGCCTCCCCTCAGGCGCGTGGTTCCGTGCCGTGCCGTGCCTTGAGCAGGCGCGAGGCAGCAACACTCCCCTTTCCAACCCCCAACCCTAGCTTCAGATTTATTTTTCAAATTTATAAAGATCAATGGGTGATCAACCTCAAACTTCAGCTGAAAGCTTTAGGAACAACTTTGAAAACGCTCCATTTTCGTGGTTTTAAGGGTGGGAACATTCCCGCGGACTCTTGCCCTATGTCACCCAGTCTCGCGCGGTGGACTTCGGCATGAGGCCGTTGTGTTCTAAATCCTTAAAACTGGCGTTTTGGGAACCTTCGCCAACGTGAAGATTCCCGGGAATTTCAAAACACTTATCCTGATAAAGGCTACGCTTGTAAGCGGGCAGCGCGGGGCAGCGCGGCGTCGCCTCGGTCGAACTTTACCAATGACGGAATGCCCCGGGTCGGTGGGCCGGTGCGAAGTGTCTTCGTCTCGACGGCGCGGCCCGGCGGTGCGGCCCAGGCCTGCACCCTTCGGGGAAAGTAGTTGCTTGCAAGCCCTCACGTTGTTGCGCGCCGTTGGCTGTCACCTCTCAGTGTGGTGCCGGCCGGTTTCTGCCCCCTTAAGTCCACGCCAGTCGACGCCAGGCTACGGGGAGTCCCGGCAATCTGTCCTGCCTTCAAAGAAGTGAGGCCGGGGGTTAAAAAAGGGGGCGGGGCGGGGCGACAGTCCCCGCTCCTTTTTGTTGTAGCCCGCATTCCTTTCTTTGCATCCTGTCCCCCGCAACTGATTGCAAGTCAATGGGGGCGCCGTCGGGGTATAAGAGACCTACTCGCGGAGAGGCGCGGCACGACACGGCGCGGGCCCCGGCATTTGCATGAAAGCACAAGGGCTTCTGCTTTAGTCCGTATGCAGCAAGCGGTAGCGCAGAAGGGGAAAAAGGCGAGCAAGCGGCGAGCCTTTTAAAAGAGGAATTTGGTTGGGTGGCGTTTTTGGTGGGGTGCTGGCAGTGCTGGCTGTGCTGGCTGTGCTGGCGGTGCTGGCTCCTGGCGGCTGTGATCCCGCCCGAGATCCCGCCACCTCCCGACGGGACGTGGTTTACCATGGCTGCCCCGGTGGCCGTGGGAAAGGGGGGGGGGGCAGCGCTATGCCCCGGAGAACAGCCCCTCGAGGCACCCTGGACTTGGATTCCCCCGATTAGGATTTACAGCTCAAGTTGGCGTCGGGCTGAATTGACATTTCTATAGAGTCGTCTCGCCGAAGAGGGGCTCGCTGTAAGAAAGAGGGTGAGCGAGGGACGGGGCGTGGAGAGCGAGAAGCCCCGTCTGGCGCGGCCCCCGTCGAGTGCACCACCCAGCCCTGCCCCGTTCAGACCTCGTTTGCTGTATTTCTTTTTTGTCAGTGTAAAGTGTGGCTAAGTCCCGCCAATTGCTGTTTGCAGTACGCCCAGGAGACGCAGCACGAGAAGATCCTGCGCGGCCTGGCCGTCGGCCTGGCCTTCACCATGTACGGGCGCCTGGAGGAGGCGGACCCGCTGGTGGCGTCGCTGTGCCAGGACAAGGACCCCATCCTGCGCCGCTCCGGCATGTACACCATCGCCATGGCCTACTGCGGCACGGGCAACAACCAGGCCATCCGCCGCCTGCTGCACTTCGCCGTGAGCGACGTCAACGACGACGTCCGTCGCGCCGCCGTCATCGGCCTGGGCTTCCTGCTCTTCAGGTGGGTACACTGCCGCCGCCCGCGGACTCCGGGGTAGGCAACGCGTCTGGCTGGCGCGCGGCGCCGCGCTGCGGGCGGCCTACCCGCTGCTTGACGGGCGCTCCGCAGTGCTCCGCCAGTCGACAATTACCTCGTCGGCCTGCTCGGTGCTTATTCACTGGCGGTTTTGCTGGCTTTTTACGTCTCTGCCCCGTTGACCCCGTTTTTGTGTCGAGAGGCTGGCTGGCTGGCTGGCTGGCTGGCTGGCTGGCTGGGGTGGGGCGCGGAGAGCGCTAGTCACACGAGCCGGGGCGGTGTGGAGCCGGAAGTGACGCTGTGGCACTGCTCGCCCAAGTGTGTAGGCGCGGTGGCGCCGAGAGGTGAAGGAGAGAGGGAGAGGGGGGGGGGGATCCTTCGGGAATGTTAATAGAAAATTCCGGCGAACTTGTTTGAAGGGCTGCTGCAGACTACTGGCTAGAGGCGCTGCCAGTTTACCCTCTGCGCTTTTCTTAGTCGGTTAACCCACCCCTCTCCTCTACCTTGGACTCTCCTCCAGTGTGCCCGCTCGCCCCGAAGGTCGCGCTTCTTCGAGTCCATCGCCTTGTTAGTTGTCGGCTCCCATTGGCCGCCGGTCGCTGTTCTGGTCGCTCTGCGGCGGTGCAGTGCAGTGGAGTTTGCACAGGGCCCGCCCCGCACTCCCGGCCCCGCTGCGAGACGAACCTCTCAATGGCTGGAACCTGTTTGCCCTCCGCCCTCCGGATTTGCATTGTGCAAGTTTCGCCAAGTTTCCCTCTTTTTAATTTTTTTTTTTTGGGGGGGGGGGGGGAAATCCATACGTTTTGCAATTTTTGTGGAGCGTTTTTTGTTGTTGTTGTCTGGGGCGGGCAGGTCATCGGTGGCGAGGAGGGGCGGGGCATCGGACTCCCTCGATGTCCCCGCAGTGCCGTTGGCATAATTATGATATTAATTTTGCCGCGGCAGGGACGACAGCTGCCGGACGTCGCCCGACTAATTGTCGAGACGTCGAAGGGAGGGGAGAGGGAAGCGGAGCAGCCGTTGTGTACACGGGGCACAATTGACGCGACGGTTCGGCGAATGGTTTGCGTTTGCGGGGCATTTCCTCGCTTCGCCGGCCGTGGTGTCCGAGGCCTTGCTGTCCGAGGACGTCCTCTCGGAGGTCAAGGCCGTGTCCGAGGAGAAGAAAGAGACGGTGGACCGCGGCCGTCGAAGTAGAGTGATTTGGCGGGATGGCGTCGTGGAGACGACGGCGGCCTCGCTCCTCGTTCCACGCCATTGTCATCGCCCTCCCCGTGGTGGCTCAACTCGTCATCTGTTGTCGCGCATTATCCCCTACGCAGTGGGCCGTGCAATGTTTCCTTTCTTTTCGTTTTGCGCCCTCGAGCGTCGATGGGTTTGCAGTTGAAATGGAAGAGTGGGTGGAGCGAGAAGGCATGATGCACTTTTTTTTCGCCCGCTGGGTTTTTTTTTGTTCTTTTTTTTATGGGGTTCTAGACGTCTCGGAACGGAAGTGGCGCAGTGCTGGAGGCCTCGGCGAACAGTTGGCGAAGTTGTGCTGCTGGTGTGGAGGCCGCGGCGCAAGTCTAAGTCCACAGAGGCGGCGCGCCGATGCTGGCGGGCGATGTGTCGCGGTGATGCTGGTGGACTCGTTGGCCACGGCGGCGGCTGGGCCCTTGGCCGGGCCAGACGGGCAGTCGTAGGGCCGCGTCTTGCTGTGAGTGCCGCGTCGTCGCCGCCCCGAGCGCTCTCACTCGGAAGAAACGACTCTTTAAAATTTCTGGGCACGGCGCGTCGCGGCGCGGCGGTGGCACCGGGGCTTCAATCATCGTGCTCCCCACCATTCTGCTGTCGTCGCTCTGTCTCTCTCGCACCCGCACGGGACGGCCAACACAGCCCGTGAGTGCGAGAGAGACGGGCTCGACCTTTGCCTCCTAATTGCAGTGGACGCGGGCCCCGCTCTTTTTGCCGGCCCCCGTTCGTGGCCCCCTCCCCGCTTTTTTTGTTGTCCTTTTTTTTAGCTGTGTCCTCTCCATTTCCCGCTCTCTGCCGGGATCGCATATGGCGACACATTTGGTTGGGTGACGTTGCGTGGCTGCCGTGTAATGGATGGAGCGGCATTTGGCGGGGTCATCAGGCTCGGCTTGGTCCGGCTCGAGCGTCGAGTTCTTTGGCCAGGCGAGCTTCTGGCTTTTGGCCCCCCTTCTTTCTGTCCGTGCATTGCAACGTTCGCTGCGTGCGGCTGCTGCTGCCGATGCACTGTGGGCTTTGTTCTGCTGCTTGTTCTCGCCGGGACAATGTTTGGTCCCAGTGTGGTGGAATGCGGTCGGCGCGCGGGGAGGGCGAGGGGGTGGGGCTCACGCCCTCCGCCGCCCCGCCGTCGCCCAGCCTTCGCCACCGAGGACCGGTGCGTGGTCCGTGCTTGTCGGTCGAGGTCCGTGGCCGTGGTCTCTTGGAGCAGGGTGTCGTGGCGGTGCACCGTTCTGCCGATGATGGCCGTGGGTGTTGGCAGGTCGTCTCTCTCTCGCTCCCACCCTCGCCCGGGCCGGGCCGGCCAGTGCCTTTCCAGGCCTAATGGGCTGCACTCCACTCCACTGGACGGTGGGTGGATTGGTCAAGTTGTCGGGAGCAAGCCAGCGGCCCCCACGCCCCGCCCCGCCCCGCCCCGCCCCGCCCCGCCCCGCCCCGCCCCGCCCCGCCCCGCCCCGCCCCGCCCCGCCCGCGGCCACGCCCAGCTGTCTCACGTTACCGCGGCCGCGTTGGTGCTTAACGAGGGGCCCCGCTGCCTCGCCGCCGCGCTGCCCGGCCCGCCTGCCCGCGGCGCCGCGCGGTGGTGTTTGCCAAATTTGTAAACGGGGACTGGCGGCCTCTGTGACGCTCGACGGCGGTGGCCTCGCCTTTCTGGCGAGCATAAAAAGGAAAAGCATCTCAAAGGAGTGGCTGGGGTCCCTCCGTGGGCCCGTGCGTGGCGCGGATACCCCAACCTGCCCCTGCACAGTGGGCCAGAAGACCGGTGGAGGCGGCCAAAACTCTAGACGCGTTTTGAGCTCCAGAGTCGCTAAATGGGACTCGAACCGGCCGTGTAACCCCACCAATGGATTGCTCTCCGAACGAGGAATCCATTGGTGGGGTCACACGTTCAGTTCGAGGCCTGTTTATCGACTCTGGAGCTCAAAACGCGTCTAGAGTCTTGGCCGCCTCCACCGGTCTTCTGACCCACTGTGCCCTGCTGGGGCCCTGGTGGGGTTACGCCCCCGCTGGCTGATGGAGCCCCCCCGGGACGCCGCTAAACACTGGGCCGTGGGAAGTGGCCGCGGCGAGTCACACGGCGGCCCGGCCCGGTCGGCGGCTTGCAGTGCCGTGACGCTGTCCTGCCGCTTCTTCTGGCGGCGCGAGGCGAACGGTGGCGGCGGCGTCCTTGGTGTCCTCGTGAAGGGAGCGGCTGCGCGTGGCCCGTGCCTGCAGCTTGTGGGTTCTCCGAAAAGAGCTTTCGTCGCTCCGTCTCTCTCGCACTCCCACGCCGCGTCCCGCAGGTGTGCGAGAGGGACGGCGAGCCGTGCGCACGGTTCCGCACTTCCTGCCCGTAATCCAGCAGGGCCGCGCCGAGCGTCCTGGATGGTCCTGGCCGCAGGAAACAATGGCGACGCTTGGGCCGGCTAACGCGGCCAACGGGCGAGAGAGGGATAGCAGTACCGGGAACAGGCCGCGGCATGTGTCTGCTGGGCCGGCGGGGTGGCTCGCGCGCTACATCGCCCCATGCTGATACCAGGGGGTGGCGGCTCATAGCGAGTCAGCGCCGTTGATGTTGTAAAAAACAAGCATCAAAAATGCCCGTGGGAAACCGAAATGAACAAGAGGCAGCGAAATATCTTTAAGAAGCGCATGGAAAAAAAAGGCAAGTCTGGATGTGAAGAGCTGACTCAAAATCAGTGTACGCTCGCTTCCCGGAGTCCCTCGGGCGATAGGCGGCCCAGCCGTGCGCAGCTGCGGCTCTGAATGAAAAGAGAAGGGGGGGGGGGTAGAGGGGAGATCCGGGCTCTTGAAGGGCTCTGGGTCTCCTTTCGCCCGCCTTTGGACCGGTTTGAATGTGAGGATGGAAGCGGGCTGCGCCGCTCCGCCCGGCACCGCCTGCACGCCGAGACGCCCACGATGGAGTACCGCCCCCGCCCCGGCCGCCCCGTCCGTCCCGGACGCGTTTGGACGTCCTGCCTCGCCCTTTATTACGTGCCCGCCCTCCGCGCCCCCTGACCTCCTGACTCGCTGGCCTTGAAAGCGGCGAGGCGGGCAGGTAGGCGGGCGCGCCTCTTTCGTCCTGAAAGCTGTCCAAGAGGGTTCGTGGTTCGCGTGTGGGGCGCCGGGCCCGTTACGCGGCTCGGCCTCAAGTGCCGTCGGAGCGGACAAGACTGCAGACGCGTCTAGCCCTCGGGCCTTCAAATCGGACCAGAGGCGTGATGGTGCCAACGGCTTCCTCGTTGAGACGGCGAGCCATGAGGTGTGTCTGTGATTCGGGTCCCGTTGCCTTGTCCGCCTCAACCGGTGTTCCGGCCGCTGTGTTGTGCAGGCAGCTCTGTCTCCCTCGCGCTTCGCGCTGCCTGGGCGTGCCGCAGGGGTGCGAGGGAGACAGGGCGACGGCACCGGTGTTCGCAGTCGCCCGATTCGCGACACGCCGTGTTCATCGATCGCGGCTTCGCGGCCGGGAACTAAACGGCAGTAATGTTATGCCGGGAATTCGGGTTCGCCGCGCCGCCGGGACGGCCGTGACGCCGCCACTGAGTTATGGCAATTTGGCGGAGCGCCGGAGCGGCGTAGCATGACGCGCGAGGGCTCTTCGCGCCCCGCCCCGCCCCGCCCCGCGAGCGTGCACGTGAACGAGCTGGAAGGCTGAACTGATTTGAATGCCGGCGTGCTCCGCGCAGCTCCCACACTGACTCACCGACACTAACAAGGGAACGGCTGGATGTTTTCAGGAACCCCGAGCAGTGCCCCAGCGTGGTGTCCCTGCTGGCTGAGAGCTACAACCCGCACGTGCGCTACGGCGCGGCCATGGCCCTGGGCATCGCGTGCGCCGGCACCGGCCTCAAGGAGGCCATCACGCTGCTGGAGCCCATGACCAACGACCCCGTCAACTTCGTGCGCCAGGGCTCGCTCATCGCCTCGGCCATGGTGCTGATCCAGCAGACGGAGGCGGCCTGCCCCAAGGTGAGTGCGACGCGCTGCGACGCGCTGCGACGCGCTGCGACGCGAGGGTGGAAGCGGAAACGCCCGCGGTGCGCGGGGTAGGCAACGCGGCGCGCGCTGGCGCGTGACGGGACGGCCCACCCCTCGCCTCGCAGGCGCTAACGAGGTCTTCTTTCCCTTGACTTTACTCTACTGACGTGGGTTTGGCTTTTGCAGGTCAAGGAGTTCCGCGCCCTGTACTCCAAGGTGATCGTGGACAAGCACGAGGACGTGATGGCCAAGTTCGGCGCCATCCTGGCGCAGGGCATCATCGACGCCGGGGGCCGCAACGTGAGCGTGTCGCTGCAGTCGCGCACGGGCCACACCAACATGCTGGCCGTGGTGGGCGTGCTGGTGTTCACGCAGTACTGGTACTGGTTCCCGCTGGCGCACTGCCTGGCGCTGGCCTTCTCGCCCACCTGCATCATCGCGCTCAACGCGCAGCTCAAGATGCCCAAGCTGGACATCCGCTCCAACGGCAAGCCCATCCTGTACGCGTACCCGCCGCCGCTCGAGGAGAAGAAGCGCGAGGAGCGCGAGAAGGTGACGACCGCCGTGCTGTCCATCGCGGCCAGGGCGCGCCGGCGCGAGAACGAGCGCCGGTCGCGCGCGCAGGACAAGAACAAGGACGCCGACAAGGACGACGAGGCCATGGACGTCGACGAGCCCGCGCCCTCCAAGAAGGAAGACAAGAAGCCCACCGTGGTGGTCGGCGGAGCCTCCTCGTCCAAGACGGCGGCCGCGGCCTCACGCGTCAAGATCGAGATCAAGGAGGAGAAGAAGGACGACAAGAAGGACCCCGACAAGGACGAGGACGACAAGGCCAAGAAGGAGGACAAGAAGGAAGAGGAGAAGAAGGAGGAGACGTGGGAGATGCTGAGCAACCCCGCCCGCGTCGTCAAGCCCCAGCTCCGCGTGCTGTCCATGCCCGAGGGCAGCGCGTACGCTCCGCTCAAGGACCTCAAGATCGGCGGCATCGTCATGGTGCGCAGGCCATGCAACGAGGGCCACCCCGCGGAGGAGCTGGTGGAGCCCGTGGCGGCCTTCGGGCCCAAGCCGGACGAGGACAAGGAGCCCGAACCGCCAGAACCCTTCGAATACACCGAGGACTGATGCATCGCGCTGCTAGTCAGAGGAGCGCTGCTGCTGATATTTTTGTATGGCCTTCTGTTGGAGTGCAGACTAGGTGTTGTAGAGTTTTTTTTGTAGTCTATTGTCGAATTAATCGTACTTACTGGAGGAACATTGCACATGAAATGTAAGTGCCGGAATTTTTTTATCTGTATTATATATGGTATAATAAAAATAATTAATAGTACTATTAAATCTTGTTCCTGTTTATTTCCCTGAGTATCTTTCCAAAGACTGTGGCGGCCGAAAGCCATCAATACCAATCTCATGCAAACGAGAAACTATGGGCGTTGGTCCGAAACACGCAAGATTCGAAGCACGAAACAGTTGCCGAAAGCTCAGAGCAGCATTTCACATCCACGGGGATCGATATTTTTGGTGGGTGAGAGTTTTTTCGTGGTTTCGGCCATCAAGCGGGTTGTCGAAAGTTGGCGAAGTAGAACTCTCGATAGCAGGAGACTGCTTACCTGTGAGCCACACCTCCACCGTTTTTCCTACTTGAGGAAGCGTCTCGCACTCCGCCCCTCGCGGGCAGGCCTCCAAAATTTACAGCGCAGGGGCCTTGGAGGTGCAAAACTGGCAGTCATTTCGCACTCGCCTTACGGCTGCGCCGAAGTGGGGGGGGGGGGGTACGAGGCCCACAATAACGGCAGCTTCCCCGCGGCGCCGCCGTTTATGGTGTCAATAAAACATATTTCGCGTATCTTGTTCCGCATTCTGTCCGTCCCGCGAGAGTCACACGCCGGGTTAAAAAAAAAAAAAACAGGTTTACACCAGCGGTTCTCAACATTTCCCGGCTCGCCACTGTTAAACGGCAGCTGAAAAATTACTATGGTGACACCACGCGCAACATTTAGCCCTGGGTCCTCCACCTTATGACTTACCCACTCATACGATCAAAACAATTTTAAATTTGGTAATTAAAAAGTCTATTATTTTTTAAAATATTGGGTTCTCCCGGTTCTGCTCTCGCCTCGCCAACTTCCCCGAACGGTCTCTGGAAAATGGCAGAAGTTCCGGGAGTTGAACCCCGGCCTCTCGATTGAGAAACAGCCGCCTCCGCGTTCTCCGCCACTCGCGTTCGGGGTTTTGCGTGGGCGCGAGAGAGACAGAGACGGAGAGAGTGACGCGGTGCACCGCTTCCAATCCCTCTGGGGGCGGGGCCCTGCGGGGAGCCGTAAACGACGGGGATAAACCGGTTATGAATACGACGCGCCAAAGGCCGCGCCGTGTCGTATAAATCGAAATTTGGGCCCACAGCGCTTGTGATTCACCGCGTGGCGGGACGCACTCCTAAAATCTGTTAATTGGTCAAGTTAACGGCCCCTTGGGTGAACGTGATGGCCGGCGTGGGGGCGTGGGGGCGTGGGGCGTGGGTGGGCCGTGTGGCCCGGGGCTGCGGGAGAGACAGCACACTGTGCTGATCGGGTTGCGTTGGTGGTGCGGGCGGCGTGGGCGCGGGCTGCATTCAGGACGCGGTGCGCTCCGGCGGGGTCGGCCACAGACTGCCTGCCGGCCTGCCCGCCTGCCCCTTGACCCCCTCGAGGCTGCGGTCCCAGGCCAGGCTTGCAGCTGAGTCGAGCCCCTGATGCGGACAGTGGGGTCCGTGCCCTAGCTAAATAATAAGGCAAACACTGATTCTAGCAAATACTCTTCTCTTTATTTCTAAACTTACTCTAACTTCACAGTGCTCACGCTAGTTACAAACTAAATTCTAATCACACTACCCTACTCCCTAATTCTACTACAGGTGACCAACCCAGATTCTTCTTCGCACTCACTCACCTCACAGGTGTATCCAAGTGAATCCAACAAAAGGGGGCACTCTCCTGACGTAGCTCTCCCAAACTCACAATCACTACAAATCACAATTCTCACTCGTCACTCTTGCACACAATTCACACTTCCCTCTCTCGTCACCCCTCACTCCCTTCTCTCTCTCACACTCTCCCACTCACTCTCACCCACTTCCCTCTTCCGCTTCCTCCTCGCTTCCACCGCCTCGCGACTCCATGGCTCCACGTCACCGCTTCCCCCCCTCGTGCATCCGCGGAGCCGCCGCCTTGTTTCCCTGACCATGCAGATCTTCTGCCCCTAGCCCAGTTCAGGCGTGCTCCCCCCTCCTCCACGCGATTCCTAGGCCTAGGGCAGTTCTGCCCCGCACAACACCCCAAGCCCAGGCCAGGCCAGGCCAGGCCAGGCCCTCGAAGCGCACGGCGGGCACTAAGCCCTTTCTGGCTCACACTAATCCCGGCGCCCGGGCCGCCTCGCGCCTCGCCGCCCTTTTACACTGTGGCTGGAAAGCGAGCAGGCGGAGCAGGCCGCGGCCTTCTTGATGTCGCTCGAACAGCATTTGAATAATTTGGCGCAGCGCGGCGCTCCGGCGGCTGGCGGCTCCTTCCGAACACTGCTTGCGTCGCTCTGTCTCTCTCGCACCCCCGCGGGCCCGGCGGGCCGCACCCACGAGTGCGAGGGAGACGGAGCGACGAGAGCGCCGTTCAGACGCAATCGCCTGTGTGACGTCTGGCGGCGACGCGGCATGCGAGGCGGGGCGGGGCGGGGCGGGGCGGGGCGGGGCGGGGCGGGGCGGGGCGGGGCGGCTTACGCCGAGTTTCGGGAGGCAATGTTCCGGAAGAAGCGTCTCGGAGAGCAGCGACTTCACTCGGTGGAATCCCGCTTTCTTTGTTTGCCTCGGCGGCTGTCACTTGCCGCGATTATCACGAGATCACTCAAATGGCGAGAATCGACTTGGAAGTGTCGCGGCGCGCAGAGACCTTTGTCTCATCATCACGCGGCGCCCCCGGTGTGGGACGATGGATGTACAATGTACCCCCAAGGTGGATGTACCGGACTGGGGCACAGCCATCGCGCGATGGCTGTGCCCTCTTCCGACCGGATTTTACGGGGTACGACATTGCGGATTTCGCACTTCATTTTCAACAGGGCCTCTTTATTGCACATGGCAGAATTTAAAGCGAATCGAATCGCGGCGCTCGGATTGGGTTCCGCCGGGGAATACGACGCGAGGGACGCGGTGCAGCGCGTCAGGCGAAACGGATTCGCAGCGGGGGACGCGCCGCGCCCCGCCACGCACAGTGGGCCAGAAGACCGGTGGAGGCGGCCAAAACTCCAGACGCGCTTCGAGCTCCAGAGTCGCTAAATAGGACTCGGAACCGAACGTGTGACCCCAACAATGGATTGCTCTCCGAACGAGGAATCCATTGGTGGGGTCACACGTTCGATTCGAGTCCAGCTTAGCGACTCTGGAGCTCAAAACGCGTCTAGAGTTTTGGCCGCCTCCACCGGTCTTCTGGCCCACTGTGACCCGCCCCGCCACGCGCACCGCGCACCGCCCCGCGTCCTGGTCCGGCCGAAAGAGGATCGAAGGGAGTAGAGGGCGTAAAAAGAAAGGCACCGTGAAAAAAAGGGAGAAAAAAATTGGTTGAGCGTCGCATAGTGCTCGAACACCCGTTCCTTGTAAGTCCAGTGCAAAAGAGGAGAAAAGAAAAGGGGACTGGAGGAGGAAAAAAGAACACTGTAGTGACAGTCGAGATGGAATGGGCGTGTTGCGCGCACATGTGCGGATGGATGGAGAAAAATAATACATATATCGCGGAACAAACAACACTAACAGTATGCAGGTGTTCACTCAGCCTCTCCACTCCTCTCAGGCCCTGGTGCGGCAGCTGTGGCTGTGCCTCACAACGTCGGCTGTTCCAAATACACGTGCCCCCTCCCTCCTCGTGTCCCTCGTGGTTCCCTGTCCCCCCCCCCCCTTCCCTCCAACTGGTCGTCGCGTTTTATGAGATTGAATTGGCGCTAATCCCTGCGGAGATTGCAAAGCCGCTTCATATTCAATTTATCCCCCGGAGATAGATGCCCGCACGTTCGCCCAGTGTGCCCATTCCGAACAGTGCTTTCGTTGCGCTGTCTCTCCCGCGCCGGGGCGGGACGCGCCGTGAGTGCGAGAGAGGCAGAGCAACGAAAGCACCCTTCGAAAGCAGCCGGGCCTGCCAGCCCTGCCTCCTGCCCGCCGAGAGAGGCGAAACAAAAACACCAGACGGGGGAGAGGGAGTGAGAGAGATGAAGTGGTACCGCAAGCAGCGCCGACACGCCGAGTTCCCGTTCAAGGGAAGCCCTCCACACGCCTCCACACCGTCTGCGCCGTCGCCAGGCCGTCGCCCGCCCCTGCAATCCCCCCTCGCCCTCCGGGGACCCGTCGCGGCGTCGCGGCAACCAACACAATGACAAAGACAGATGACGAGTCGTCGGGCTGGGCGGGCTGGGCGAGGGTGCGCGCGTCGACTAGACAGGCTCGGGGCTCCGATTCAAATTAGGCTTCGGATTCAGATTCGTTGACGCCGACCCGCGCGCGCCGCCCGGCAGCGACAGGCCCGGCCTGCTGGCCCTGCAGACGTTTCGTCGTTCTGTCTCTCTCGCACTCATGGGACGTCCCCCATGAGTGCGAGAGAGAGAGAGAGAGAGAGAGAGAGAGAGAGAGAGAGAGAGAGAGAGAGAGAGAAAGAGAAGAGAGAGAGAGAGAGAGAGAGAGAGAGAGAGAGAGAGAGAGAGAGGGAGAGAGAGAGAGAGAGAGAGAGAGAGAGAGAGAGAGAGAGACCGACGAAAGCGACTCTCGGAATCAGTCTGCCGCTGCTTTCCTATTGGCTCAGAAATGTGGCCGCCTGCACGGTCTGCACGGCCTGGGCGGCCTGCTCGGCCTAGGCTCGACGGGCCGGCTGAATAAACACGGAGAAGAGTGGCTCCAGGACCTCCAGGAGCGGGACCGATTTGCAGCGTTCGTGAGCCGCTGCCTACGGCTGCCTTGGCAGTGGAGGCGGAACCCCCTGCACGCCACTGTTTGAGCACAACGGGCACGGGGACACGACCGTCCTGGCCCAAATGAATTATTCGCTCCGACTGGAGTCGCCGAGCCCCGGGCAACATCAACATCCTCCTCCCCATCCCCCTCACGTCCTCCTGGACCGACTCCCGTTTAGACAGAAAGTCCCAAAGTCCTGCGCTGAATAAATCCCTTGCAGTGTGCTCGCTGGTGTGCGATCCGCGCGCCGGCTCATCGGCCGTGTTGTCGGCCTCCCCGATTCCGAACAGTACTTGCGCTCTCTCTCACACGCACACGAGTGCGAGTGCGCGAGAGAGACGGAGCGACCAAAGGACTGCAGTTTCCGGAATGAGCC